CCATGCATAGTGATCACTTCATGTCAAGTATCTACAAATTCCTTCCAAGAACAGAAAAAAAACGAATCTACTTTTTAACTTAAATTTTTAACTTGAACTTTTTACCCTAGGCAGGACAGATGCAATGTTGGTGTTCTCCAATGTAAGTACACTTCAGTTTGGTTTCATTTAGACCAAAGGAAGAGGTTTGTTTAATTTTATTTCTCAATTATGTGAAGTTACAATGTGTTTTTGAAGGCAGAATTGCAGCCTACTGTTGAAACATCACGCTTCTGTATCCCCTTTACACAAAGTACAAAGAGTACTTTCAAACACCTGTACTGAAATTCAAGCATCAGAGAAACAAGTATCTTAAAAAAATTTACTTTGATGATGCTCCTTTGGATCCACTGAAATTCAGGACTAAGTCCCATCTGGTCACCAAAAATCGGTTAAAAAAACTCCTTACCCCCAAGGCAGCATTAAGAAGCATGCTTCTTTATGTGGCTGGATGCACAAGAGGATATCTCCTCCAAAATACCATGCATGCTCAGTACAGAAAAATCTCCTGTTTATACACTGTATTTTACATACATATTCATTGCTTTCCTGGAAAAAACATACATATGATAACCATTTCCTCAAAATCATTAACATATTTTCCCTTGCCCTTCCACATGCGTCCTTCTGTCCTAGGGGTTTCTTTGGTGGTCCTTGGTGGTCAGCAACCCCAAAGTCCTAGCTGACTGCTTGGAAACTGGTAAAAGTTGGTACAACTGGGCTGGTTGCCTTCCAGTTCTTCCTAAAGAATATGTATTGCACAGTTCCATAGGCCAGTGGTTTTTGAAGAATAAGCACTGAATTTTTCATCTGGCAAAAATGAATGCAAGCCAGCAGAAAAAGCCTAATTATCCTGAGATTACTATAAAAGAAAAATACTATTGATTCCAGCATAACAATTTTTTCCATTTTAATTAGATGAGACATACACAAATCTCTCTTAAATCAGCATCCATATTTTGAAATCTTACATTCTTAAGATTTAACTCAACATCCAAACACTGTATTCTTAGTTCAATGTGAAAGCTGTATTTTAGTGAAGTAACCTTTTTACAATTAAAAAAATCCTAAAGAAAGTCCCATTACCAATGGTTAAATACAGACTATTTATTACTCAAACTACCTTCAATGTTTTCATTCTGATACGAAAAGTGTCCTTTGAGACATTGTTGCACTTACTCAAAAGCCAACAAGGTAAAACAGCAATGTTTATAAATCTTCATTTTCCAGATGATCTCATTTAACTATCTATTTCAAATGTCACCATGCATATTTGCATGCTCACATAGAAATACTGTCTACTATTTTCATGTCCACATGAGTAACTCTTCTGACAACTCCACTAGTAACTCATTTGGAAAAGGTTAGATTTCTAATTCCTCTACGTGGATTAAATGTCAGGCACTTCTTCAGCAGATCAGGTTATTCTATAGGGAGAATCTGCTGAAGATATGACATATCAACTATTTGATCTTTACATAACATTTTGCCAAAAATATTTTCCTTTTTGCTTAGGAGCAGGAAGGACAAAAACAAAACAAGAACACAAAGCAGACAGACAGTGATTCATTACAGCCCTACCAGAAAGCCCAGTTGACAAATTTGCTCCCACCCCCTTCTATTTCTAGGACTTACTGCTACCATGTGAGGTATAATGTATTGTTACACATGTGCAAGGCTTTCCTTAGCTTTGATCTTCCAAGCATGGCTCTTAATGACTACGAGTAAAGACTCTCAACAAATTCCACCAAGAACAAACCATAACACTGTTTTCTGAGACTACCGACTTAATACATTAAGAAACTATCCTTTAGTATTTTGTCCACAGAGCCCCCTTACCCATTCTATATGAACATGATGTGCAAATTGATAACCTACAGAGCTTTATGCTTACACTAAGCATTATCTACTGTGCAGCTTATGCATAAGACAAATCTATTCATATTTTACTAATACAATTATCATCTTAATGATAATTGTATTCCATAGTATGCCATATACTGCAACTTCTATCTCTTTGATTGCAAGCATTCCTTCCTAAAATTAGTGATGTTTACTCAAGCTTAATTTAATTCATGAATAAGAACCAGTCAGGTCAAAAGAACATTTCCCCAAGCCATCAATGCATAGCTATAAAAGTGCTGTTTCAAGCACATGAGCTACTATGTGTAAGGTTAAATAATTTTGTTCATAATAAGAATATAAATGTCAGACTGATTTTTAGTTGCGATTGTTGACCTCAAGAAAGAAAACATCCCTTCATGTTACTCCCAAATTATGTTAATGCCATAATGGCATTCAATGATATAACCATGAGCTGTAAGCAGTACTGAATCACACTTTCGTCATAAAAAGGGCCTTATCCATAGCTACCATGGTGACAAAACACTAGCGCAAAAAGTTGTGCCTCCACTACAAGGAACCATTCTTCTACACGGCATTGAAAAATATCAAGTGCATCATGAGAGACACAAAAGGCCTGAAAAGAAACAAAATTGCCTTGATTATGAACATACTGGTTTACAACTAAATTTGTCATGCACTGCTACAACTCCTCACCCTCCCCTCAAGAATCTCAAGTCATTATTGGGACTGAAACACTGCTCTAGAAAGGGATGGTTCTTTGTAAAAGGATTACTCTATTCAGACTTTCTGCCAAGCATCAGCCACATAAGGAAAGCAAAGTTCACTGCCACTTATTTTGTCCAGATCTTTCTGATGCCTAAGAATAACCCTTACTGCTGCCTGGAAAGGTAAGTCTGTAAATTGCAAGTCAAATAATTTATTAGTTATCAACCACTCAACCCACTTTAGACATTTATATGTTAACATTTTTTCTTACACTATACCAACCAGAAGGAGTTGGATTATTTTTTCTTAAAGCACTAAATTACTCACAATGTTAAAGAATGATACTCCTACCTATGTAGGAGCGTTAAAAATTTTGCACAGAAATTACTTTGTCCAAGACTCCCAAATACCAGTACATGTCACACATTGGCAAGACTGAAACGTACGCATCCTATCTGACCAACATGTTGCTTCCGAGTTTGACAAATAGGAACAAACGTTCCAGAGCTACGGTTTCTACCTTGTTCTAAACATTCACAATATGAGAAATTCCTTGCCTTCATGAAAGAACTAACCTATAATTGTCGCTTTGATGCATGAAAAATAAACGTGCATCTAGTTAGTTGGTATAACAAGCAACAGAGGTACAAAATCTTACACTAAAACTTCATATTTAATTTCCTCTTCAACAGCTTCAAAAATAAGTTCTTTCAAAAATTAGAAAGGGGAAAGTGGTCACCAAAATCAACAAGGCTACATTAACAGCTTCAATTGCATGCACTTTAAAGAGGTCAGACAACTAGCTATCTGCTTTGGTTTTGTGCTGTTATTTTGTTTTAAATGAAGGTCCTTAAGATGAACTTTGCCAGGATCAAAATGCGGGATAGACCTCCACTATACAAACAGAAAAACAAGCAGTCCAACTCGTCGATTTGAGAACAGAAAGGGTAAAGGGGAAGAAGACGGGTGACTGCAGCAATCGAAGGTGGAAAAACTGCGACATTTACGGATGACCAGGAGGGCGTATTTTTATAAAGAAACTCAACAGCAACCCTGAAGAAGTCCGGTCAGCCACTAACCGATATTCCAGAAAACAACGCAGACATAAGCACGAAGCATCAAGAGCTTTCGATTAAAAAGAAATATTACCTCCTTCATGACTTTCTCATTTCCCGATAACTTAATTGTACTCGCAGGGTTACCAAACGTTTTGCAAGGGAGGGAGCTGAAGAAGCAGTTACGCAGTCGAGCAGCTTCAGCTCAGTGCCTTCTCGGACCGAACAAAGAAACTTCTGTGTCCGATGAGATTAAAAACTTTCGGTCTCACAGACTCTTTCCCGGCCTCCATGAAACCAGCGCCTCGGTTCACACGTTCAGGCGAGACGGGGAGAAACACAATGAGCAGCTAACAGGGCAGGCCAAGGCGGAAAACAGAGACAAAATATAAAGGCCAAAAACAGGATATAAAACGAAGCCTGAACTCCTTGCTTTTTTCTCCACCCCCTTCCCAGAGGAAGGATTTTTCTGTTGTTTTTGTTGCTGCTGATCCCAAGCCTTCCCTATTTACCTTATGTGTCGGGACGCCGAAACCAGATCCAGGAGGCAGGAGTTTCTTCCGACCCCAAGTTAAATCCAATCGAGTTTTCTTCTTCACAGAGAAAGAGGGCAGAGAACGGGGAGAGGAGGAGAAGGAATATTAGCAGCTCTCGCCGAGGACGAGGGAGTTCGTGTGCACGGGAAGAGGGCTCCAGAGCAGCCGGGCTCCTCCCGGCCCCCGCCGAGGTCTACCCGCGGCCGGCCCCACGTCGCGCCGGCCCCGCCCGGCGGCGACACCGCAGCGCCCCCCACCACCCAGCGCGGCCCGGCCCGGCCTGGCCCGGCCCGCCGCCGCCGCCCCTCGCCCGCCCGCCCCCCGCCGCCATGGACACCGCCGCTCCCCGCCGGCTGCACACCCGGGATCGCGCTGCCCGAGCGCAGCCGCCACCGCCGAGGGTTGAAGGGAAGCGGGATGGCCGCCTGCCTCACCTGCCCGCCGCCGCCCTCGCTCCCCGCCTCCTCTCGCACACTTCCCCCTTCTCCCGCGGCCTCAGCCTCCCGCCCCCCTCCCCGGCCTCGGCAGCGGGGGGCCGGGGGAGGCGGCGGAGCTGTGGGAAGAGGGAATGAACGTCCCGGGCAAACACACGGCGGGGGGAAGGGGAGGTGGCCGCGGGCGAAGCCGCCGCGCCCCTGCTGCTGCCGGCGCCGCGCAGCGCTGGCCAGACGGGGGAGGCACTGCAGCGGCACGGGGGGCGGGGCGGGAGCGGAGCCCGGGCCGAGACCTGGCGGAGGCGGGAGCGGGATCGGGCGGGAGCGGGGGCGGGAGCGGGAGCGGGAGCAGGAGCAGGAGCAGGAGCAGGAGCCGGCAGGCGCGGCGGGCGCGCCCGCACTGCTGTGGCGGGCGGGAGGAGGGACGGGCGGACAGCGCCGGGCGGGGGCCGAGCTGGGGAAGGCCGTGAGGGACGGGCGCTGTGGCCAATGGGGCCCGCGGGGCGGGCTGCGCAGGAACGCGGCGCGGCGGGGTGGGGCGGGGGGCGCTGGCGCGGGGCTGGGGCAGGCGGGAGCGGCGCCGGGCGGGGGCTGCATTTCGCCGCCGCGGAATGGCTCCTCCCGCTGCTGCCCGGTGTGGGGCCTGTCCCAGTTTGTCTTTGCAGCAGAGCGTCAGTCGCACTGACAAATTCACACCTAAATGACGGAAGTTTCCTCGTTAGCAGCTCAGCTCCGTAATTTAATGGTTGCACACCCTCTGTAGAAAGCGCTGAGGCGCCGGCTCACGCCATCAGGCGCTGGCCATTGCGCCTTCGTGGCCATCCGACCCCTGCCCCCGCACCTTGTGCTGCCTGACTCGCAGTTACCAAGAGTCTGAGAGAACGAACACACCCAAGGGAAAAACTGACAGCCTCCACCCACGCTTTGGTGTTTGGGTATGGTACGTTAAACTTGGATACAAACAACAACAATTAAAATAATGCCGCCCATATTGTCACAATGTTTCAGGTAAACCCTGGAACACTGCTGTACTTTCTCTTCCAAGTATTTCAACACTGTCAGTACAATGCAGTGGTACTGAAAATGCGTGTTGACTGACAAGAGTCATGTTTGAAAAGCATGCAGTACACAGATCACAAGGCTTTGGTATTGGTTGGGTTTGGATTGCAGTAGTACAGGTGTGATCTGAACAGAAACAGTGAGTTTCTTTTTAATTTCCTGGATTGTTTGAAATGGGTATTTGATAACCTATTGTGTATGCAATATGCCATTTTAAGTGTCCTGGAGCCTGGAGTTCTGCTCAGCCGTAACAGAGCACATGAAGCTGACAGCAGGGTGGAATTGTACATGCTGCTCACCTTATGCTCCTTAATTGTGCTCAGCAGAGACCAAATCTGAGGAGAGGGGTAGTTTTGTTTTCACACTAATTTAATCCCTGGCTACTCTACTGGGACTGCCACCAACTAGGATGGAATAGTGTTTTATGATGATAATCGGTTTACTGAGAAATTGGCAAAATGCTAAGAAGTGTTATATGAGCCATTGAACAGCAAGGGAAATGGTTTGTCATGTTACTATTGACCTGTCCCTGATTTTAACATAGGACTAGATGAGAAAAGTCCTTTACACCCCTACCAGTCCTTGACAGTAACTCAAATTGATACTTCCTGTTCAGGATCGTTGTTTGCTTCATCTATTTTCTTACAGGGTTTTGAATGAAGGGTTTAATCTTTAGCAACAAAACGTAGAGATGATCACATTTTTATAAAAGTCCACTGTGTTTAAGACATTGTGTTTAACAATAGTTATTAATTTTAAACTTCTTGCCTATATATGGGAATTGTATGTTCAAGTATCCAGCTTGTATCCAGATCCAAAAAATAAGCATGCGTTCCTACTAGGATAATAATATTCACTTACCGTTTCTTTACTTTTCTCCACCTGCACAGAGCATACAGCCCTACTTTGGGGACTACATCTCTGCCTAAATTTAAATAATTAAACTAAATCAAATGTGGTCATCAGAGTTTATAAAAAAGAGAATTGTATGTGTATATATATAGATATTTTCCAAAACATTAAATTGCTTCTATTTCTTCTTGTTCAGAAAAGCCATTTTCTTCAAATGAGTCAGCTTTGGACTAAGTCCAAGCAGGAGAACTTTACCCCCACTGACAACAGATTTAGAATTTCTCACTACAGTGCCCTGCAGTGGTGCCCTACATTGTGTCTATAATAAAATTATTAAATTTTTTTATCTCTTGCAAATGATTGATTCCTGTCATACACCACATAACATGTCCTTATCATAATGTGACTAGCTCTCTGCAACTGATGCCCTCCATCATGAACTCTTCAAGGTACTTTCTTATGTGAATTATCACAACTTTTTAATGTGAAAATATTTTTTGGAAATGTTTATTGCAAATTGCCCAGTGCATTTTATAATTAAGTAGAGTAATAGATAGGTGTGAGAATTTATAGAGTAGTAGTAGCTGTTGCTCAGATGGTGAATCTCCCATAGTTGTTAACATTAGTTGCAATGTAAGATGCAGTTTCACTTATAGTTTTAGCCATCAAAATAAAAGCCTTTCCAAAGTCTGCTGAAACTACAGCTAGCTGGAGCACAACTACTGAAGATATTTTGCACAGACAAGATATAACTATCTGTACAAATTAAGAAAATACCAGGAGTTATCCTAGGGATCTAAATTTGCTATAAATATCAAAACAGAGTCCCCAGCAATATTAATTCCCAGAGCTGGTATCCCAGTTACCAAATAATTACAGATTAGGTGCACAAAGTTACATAATGAGTCTTTCAAGTGAGACTCTGTATCTGATCCCACGGAACATTTAAACAAATCCTGTATACACACTTTCAAGCTGGACATGAAGCCCAAACTCCTCTCATTTTAATTTCTATTTTTATATTTGAACAGGAGCACTAGTAAATACTGCAACAACATGCAGCTAAATCAAAAGAACATTCGGTGAAACAGTTACCTGTATGTTTGTCTCTCAGGAGTTAAGTGGTCTGAACAATTACTACATAGTTTCTTCTGAGTGACAGGGTTTAATTGCTGCTTTTCCCTATTCTTACTACTGTTGTTCATTATGATTGCATGTTTCCACTTTTCTAGGAAATAGATTGAAAGGCCTCTGGGGTAAGCACTTCTGCTTATTAAATGCTCAGGTGGATTTCAAATTGATTTGAAGTGGAATTTCTGGGCATGACTGCAATACAAATATTAAATAATAATTAGTGGAAGTAATAACCACATGAAAGACACGAAGAGGCAATAAGTAATTTTTTTTTCTTTAACAAGTATATATTGAAGTTTATTTTATATAATTTAAATTTGCCAAAATATCTTACTGTAGCATTTTCTGAATTTACGTGGTTCACAGCTGGATGACACCACATTTATGCTGGTGAAATTAACACAAAACTGGTATAATTCAGTGGCAGTTAAGTTTTAGAAGTGTACTGCTATAACTTCTAAATACATAATGCATTTTTGCTATATTTAAAGAGAAGCTAAGTAAACAACTTCTGTTCAGTCTAACTTCACTACAATCCCAAATATACACTGGCTAAATACACCATACAAATAAGTTTTTTCTGTATTTGGTTGCTTTGTTTCTCAAACAGTAAAATCAAAGTGATGAATTATTATGCAAGTACCAATAGAAAACCTTGGTAATACCACAACCTATTTTTTATATGCTGTGTTCTAGAAATGGTTAGGAATGTTTTAGAATTATTTTTAACCATTATATTGTTAGTTTTTGCTTGTTTTTATCTTCCTTGGCTAGCATGGGAGAGCTGATGATTTCTGAGGAACATTTTGGACATAGAGGAGCATTTCATGTGAAGGAGCAAAGACAAAAAGGTGGTGTTAAGGTACTTTTACGCTCTCCTGATTTGGACTGCTTTGCTCCTGCCCAGTCTCAGTTAATACTGATTTTAAGCTATACTGTAGCCTCCTAGCCTAAGGGTCTGTTTTGACAGCTGATGCCACCACATAAATCTTGTGCTGGTGAAAACAAAGATAAAGGAATGAAAATGAAGCCATACTATGTGAGAACACTGGCGTCTGTAGATCATAACCAAAAATTCTTTGTTAACTAGTTTAAGACAGAGTTAGGCATGAAGTTGGCGGAAAGAGCCAACTGCAAAGTTGCCTAAAATAAATCATGTTCTCAGTATGTTGCCTATGCACTGATGGTAGTTTTGGACTACCTTTGCTAAGTTCTTGAATCTTAGAGGGGTAGCAATAAATGCTGTTGAGGTTGTTTGTGTCCAAATAGAACTCCTAAAAGAATGCTTTACCAACTTCTAGTCATATCTGGGAATACTCTTCTATGGAAAATCAGTTATGCTAGCTCTATAGGACCCATCATCACACAAGCATTAAATAAAACCAGACTTCTCTAATTGTGGGATGAATTACATTTATTTTACATTTTATGGCTTACCTCTATTTTGACAATTAATTTTTCTTAGAAGATGCTAATGCTGACAGTACAAATTTCTTAGTAGTCTTTAGCACAGTCTTGTGTTTATGTACAAATAAATTTTTTACTTTTCCCTTGTCTTTTTCTGTGAATAATGTCAGTCATGTAAAAATAAATGCTAACAATGTGTGAATTCTTGGCTTCAGTGTTGGTTCAATGGTGTTTCAAATTGAATTTCTTATGGACTAACATATTTGGAATCACAAGGTAAATCTTTTTGAAGCAAGGACATGCAAACAGTCCAGTGATATGAACTATTCTGTCTCTAGACCAGCTAAACTGACAGATTGTACTTTAAGAAAATAATTTTTGATTTCTAGAAAAGCCACCATGGACCGTTTTTAGGAGAGTTTAAAAAATCCTTTGGATTATTCTCCATCTGCAAAATATGGTTCATGATAAAATATTATTTCATTTTGGAGAAAACAATTTTTTTAGAATCTGTTAGAGCAATTGCAGATTTCTTTCATTACATATGAAATTCAATTTTAAGTTCAATTAAAAAAATAATTTTGTCTTTCCCATTTCTGTTTATGAAGTCTTCAGTTCCCCTTTTTTACTTATTTTTTGCCTTTTTTTATCCTCACACAATCAAAAGAGATGACATAGTTGTAAGTGCTAAAATATTCTTCTTTTTCAAATATTTTATCCCTTTCCCTTTGAACAAACAAAATATTAAAAATCACAGTTTATCACTAGTATCACTGAAAGCCTTATAGAAACATTATAAGATATTTTTAATTTTCCTTTGTCAAGAATGGTTTCAGAGTATTTTTTTAAATCTTAAATAGGTATTTTTTTCAGTTGTAACTGTCCTACATTCTAAGGCATAGATGACTTAAACAATAATTTTTTTATGTTTTAATTCACAGGTTTCATCTACTGTTTTCCTCCATCAAAGGATATTTTTATACATCTTTACATGGCAGATATATTCTACAGCATTATTCCACATCAGTGAGGAAATAGTCACTTTCCAGACCACAAAAGTGAAAAAGTTGTCAATTAACTAATTTCTATTCCTGCAAACAAGAAAAAGTGCTCAACAGAGAGCTTGGCTTTACTGATTAATTTGAGAAGTCCGCTTTAGTCTAGAGGAGTAATTGTTTCTATTTTTATAAAAAAAGTATTTAAAATATTTTACTTTCTTGGAGAAAAGTGAAAATGCATCGCTTCTGTTTAACCATGCTATTAGCAGTGTAGCAGAGTATACATCTGAGCATCATGACAACATTGACTCACCCCATTTCCATGAACATATTTCTAACTGCTGTGATTAAACAGTATACATTCAGATTAAACAGGCACACAGCTCAGGTGAGATTCAGAGATTCAGTGAATTTTGACACTGGGATACAAATTAGACCAAGTTTGTAGAAAAGGTGATACCTTTAATTAGATCAACTGATAGAAATGGAGAAAACTTGACTGACATCCTTAATGAGAATTGAGAAGGAGGAAAATCCAAACTGAATATAAGTGGCATGTATTGCTTTAAGTGTAATAAATTATTTTAATCAATTAAACCACTGGTGAGAAAACACCTGCTAACATGAATGTACAGAGGATCAATCAGTAAGAAAACTGTCGGCTTTAAAAATAATGTTGCTACTGTCTCCATGAAGAATGTAGTTCCCAGGTTTATTTTTCAAATGTGACTTGGAGGTCCCTTGTTAGTCCCTGCTCTGTGCAAGAGATGGATTATTTTTTTAAATGAAATAATTATTCTCCTACCCTTTGCTGTGTTTTGTCTGTGATCTGTGCCAGTTCAGTGTAGTGAATAATAGTTGATGAGTTCCATGCATGTAATTTTCATGAGAATGTGTGATAGTGTAATATATCACATTTTAAAGAGTATGCAGAAAACATAAAATAATTAATTTTCATTAATTCTGGTCACTGATATCAATCATGTTAAATATGTCAGTATTCATGAAGTTTACTTTGGCTGTGCCAGCAAGGTTTAATTCTAATGAGTGTTTGTTAGTACAGAAGAGGTCTGCTTTGGATTGTGAGTTTAATACGGGGACCAGTATTTAAAAAGAGATGTGGGAAAGAAGCAGTCTTCAAGGAGGTGTAAATGCTGTAATTATCTGGTTTTTGTACATATACAAGCATTGAGTATTATGCAATAAACAGGAATATTTTATTAATGAGGTCTTCCATTTTGAATTATTAGATTGATAGGTGGTATTTGGGAGGTTAATTCAAATGCAAGGCCTGCTCCTTGCAAGCTAGTTTGAGGATTTTTTTTTCCAGTGTGTTTCGCATAATGGCTAATTTTCTGAAGTTTGTTGATTTGTGCATTCCTCTACAAGGTACTTTGCATTGTCACTATGTTATCTAGAAAGGTGATGTTCATCTTCTAGTACACAAAAATCAATAAATTCTTAATTTAGCAGTGAAAATCTGTGGAGAAGTTTAGATCAGGTTTAGTGGCACTGTCCTTTGAAATACTTTCCCATGAGTAGTTCATGAACATGATGCCATTACTGGCATGAGGGATACTTTTAAAATATGTTCAAGCTTTGGTTGGTCTCCTATGATTTCCACAGTTCTTTATGAGTAGTAGCAACTTCATCTGAAAACCACCAATTTGGGTGTGTCAATATTATATTAAATGAGAGAAACAATTGTTCTGGTTTCAAGTTCTTTCTTTATCTTTGACAGAAACCATCTTGAATTAAGCCCCTGCACACCCAAGAGACCTTTGGGAGAGAAATCCTCTAAAATGTGAATATTCATAAACTGCTTTTTAAGACATTCAAATGTAAATGGCACTGTTCTTGTCAGGCTGTTCAGCACTTTAGAACTATGCAGACATTTTCTTGTCAAACTCTGAAGAAATGGGAAATTGCCAGGGTTTAACGGTTGTGTTCCTTTCCATCAAATATGTATTTTTACTATAGAAGCTATTTTGCCTCTAGTTCAGCCATGTCTTTATGTGTTAATACAATCATAAAACAAGTAAGAGTTTTGTGTGTATATACACACACACACACACACATACACACACATCATTGATCCATGAAAGCCTAAATCTGAAATATTATATGAGAAGTATATGTATATAAATCAATATCTCACGTACATATATACACATATATACATGCATACATATGTGCACAAATATTGAAGTGAAAGCATTCATTCTTACAGTGTGAAATGCTTATGGTATAGATTTAATTCCTCTTTAAGAGTATAAATGTAAATAAAAATATATAGACAAAAAAGCTATGTGAATCACACATATGTCTAGGAAAAGTAAGTAATGTGCCAGAAAGTCAGGTAATTTAACAGGTATGCTACTGTCACAGAGATTTAAAATATAAGGATCTGCTTTTTCAATTGCAGAGATATTTTTCATAGGAGTAAGCTTATTGCCTTCACTGATATTGCTAACTGAAATAAGATGCTACACCTGTCTCTAGATCCATTACCTAAGGGCTTGTTTACTCTGAGTCAGAAAAGTACACTAACATTGTGTACATGAAACACCTTAATTCCATGTGATACAGTACTCACTGTTGAGATAAGGTAAAGCCTACATACCCATCCAGTGCTTATTAAATGAGGCACATATAATATTTTTCTGAACTACTGCCTTCCTGCCTTTCCAAGGCTGAGAATATACTGGAATGATTAGGAAGCTAAGAAAGGTCCTACTTGCCCCTGAACTTCCCTTCCTCATTATGACATTACAGGCTCATAATACAGCACAGCAAGCCATTTTCATCTCCTTGTTCAGCAGAAATCAAATACAGAGCTTCAGAGGATACTTACAGACCCTCACAACAAACAGTCTCTTCATACAGTGGAAGGAGCTTAGACCTTGTTGAAACGAAGACCACAATGTCTGGCTGCCATAGGCAGCTCACAACACTTGTTCTGTTGCTCTATTGCCATGCCAAATAAAATATCATAATCTACTTCCAAGAACACAAATAGATTACCAGCAGTCCTGCATTTAGCTGCATACATTAGGAGAAGCCTGACTGGCTTTTGTCAAGGAAAGATGTACCAAAGTCAGTTTGCTGTAGGCAGTGCTGATGCCAGTGTACACAGTGAGGACTCCAAGGCTGATATATGATGTGACACATCAACAAGACTCACATAAAACCCAGGACCATTTTATCTGAGTGCCTAAGTGTCTTGACTGGACACATGCAAGGGGAGCAGAGCAAGTGTTCAATTTGCCCACTTTACAGACTACTTGTGCCGGCAATGCTGAGAAGGGACCATCAGCCAGTAAATGTTGTTTTGCCTGGTTAATATGCCATTAAAGTGAAAAGCTATGGAAGAGGTAGCAGGTGAGGGAGTATGACTTGCAGTGTTACTTGTAGGCATTTAAAACTCCTCTGCTCCTAACAATCAGCTGCAGTCTGCAGATACCTTCTTTCCCTGACTGCTCAGTTGCCTTCATTTGTACTTTCCAAACAGTGATCATACTAGAAGTTTCAAGAGCTAGTTAAAAATAATGATGTCTCAGTAAATGCAATAGTCGCTCTCAGATGTTCAGTGGAAAACACTTCCTTCTTTCCCTTCTCCTCCCCCACAATTCACATTTTCTTCTTCCTCCCCTCCCTCTCAGCTGCTTGATCTTAGAAGGGAAAAGTCCTGAAAATCTCAGTAGTGCAGCAAATATGTCAAAATTCTCCGCCATAATCCCTCACCAATAAAAGAAGAGGCATGAGCCTCTTCTTCACTGTTAGCTACTGAAATTTTAAATAACCAAGCTTCACTGCAAAAAGAGCATTTCTTAGGGGAATAAAAACTAAATTTAAGATGCCAAAATTATTATTGTATAGCTGTATTGTCCCTTATTCCAACATTGAAAGCAGTGACTGTGCTTCCAGAGATTAGACTGCTTCTGTTCAACTACATATAGAAAATGTCCTGTGAATCCTTTCTTTCCATAATGATTGCATGAGGATAGAATCACCCAGAGCCAGTGCTGCATCAGTGCTACATTCTCTGTCCTATTTACAGGACTGCAATAAAAAGGAGATTGATTAGCTGCTAATGAATACTGAAGACCTTCCTAGAGCTGAATGCAGTAGTTCAGCTGCCATTCGGACAACGACCAGCTTTTGAATGGTGAAAAGCAGAGAGATAAACAGAGGTGTTTTGGTCTCCGGTGAAGAAGAGTGCTGCCTAGGGAACAGATAAGCCAGTCCCAGCAGACACTGTGGAAGGAGTGGGGCCCAGTTTTACCACATCCAAATATCATGCAGGTGTCCCAATAGTTGTTTTATTTTCTTGTGAGTGAAGCAGATAAAAGTCCTGGCAAATTTCAGTTATGCTGCCTGTGCATACAGGCTTCTGGAGATGCAGATGTTAGGGTTCTTTGTAATGGAAGAATCAGCACACTGAAAACTGTAGGAGTCATCCTTTAGGAAAGAAATATAAGTGCAGATTCTACTAAGAAGGCTACAGTAGGGGGAAGTTGCTGACATTGAGAAACATGAGGAATAATACTTAGAAAGTAATACCTGTTGGTCACTACAGAGGAAATGGATGTGAGCAGTTACTATTTACTCTCAAGTTAATGTACAGCTGTGAAGAAGGATATAAATGAAAATAAATATTATCAAGTAGAACAGAAGGCTATTCAATGATCTTGTCTTGGGAAAACAGGTAAGCTGAAAAAGGAAATGAACGGACATGAACTAATTTTCAAAATTAGTATAGTCATATGTGTCTGGAAAAACATGGGCATTCTCATTCTGCAGAACATATACAACTGGGGTGAACACCATATTAGACATAAGGCTGCATGCCAGTGACTTCCTACCACAGTGCAATAGTAACACCACCCCTTCTGCAACTGTTTCATCATCTATCTTTCTCTTCAGGGTAACTTGCTTTTTTCTCCTAGGGCACTATTGAAGAGCAGAAGTGATAGTTTGATGGAAAATGAAGTAAAGACAACCAAAGGCATGGGAAAAGTCATTAAGTCTGTGATGAAGGTGACTATGAAGGAGAGGGAGATCAGTAAGTGGAAGGACAGAGAGGAGGGAAGGGTAAGGAGAGGACAGAAGAGGTAGGTAATAAAATAACCACTTTCGGCCCAGCACACCATTCCAAAAAGAAAACTACAGACCTACACAAATATCATTCTCCACTTAATGAAATCAATAAATACAGAGCATCAGGTCTCTGGAACTTCTGGCAAAGGATTTAAATTTGATTTCAGTACTTTCCTGTTTTCGGCCTTACAATGTTCTACTAGAGACTTGTGGTTGTTTACAGACTCTTGAGGATTAAAGACTGAAATGAAGTACAGACTTTTGAACAAAAAGCTAGAACCTAGAGACAGTAAATTTATTTAGGCATTTAATTCCATTTATTTTAGGGGAAGTAAGATTCCTAAATACTTCCTCTGGCGTGAGCTGGATGTGTTACTCACAGAAAGTACAGTAACAATGGAGGCCCTAGGAGTCTGCTAATTTATGCCACTTGACAATTCTTATCACAGTTGTAGGAAAAATCCACTATGGCAGTTCAATGCGGCAGCGAATGTGGCTCATCTAATAAAGGATATTTTGCTTGTACTTAATAAGATATACTCAGATATACTATTCACCTAGTGCTCAGGTTAAAAAACTAAACTAGGATATATTTTAGTTGTTTCCTAATGGTTGAAATTAATTAGTCATGTGTTAAATATGTTGAGGCATCCAAATGAGTCATATTGCACACAAATGTTTTTTATATAACTGGCAGCCTTTTATATAACTGAAGTATTAGACATTTTGTAAGTATATGTACATATTTGTAATTTTGAATGTTTTGTACAGTTTTTTCATTTTCCATTACTGACTTCTGAATCATACAAGATTGACTTTCAGTTCATGTGGTCTTTGCTGTCTAAATCACACAAATTTTAAACAAAGTATTTTAGATATATATATAGAGAGAGGCATCTATTCACTAGGTGTTTTAAACAAAAAAAATACTCTGCAAATACTCTTTTTTGTTGGTTTCTGTTTGTGGTTTCTTTTGTCTGTTTTGTTTCTTAAGAAACATTTTCATATATATTGAAGCTGACCATTTTTAAAGAATGGTATCTTTTTGAAGAAGGTTGCTATATAGCCAACATCATAGAAAAATCCATCTTTTATGAATTTTCTGCTTTGACATTCACCACTACTTGTTAAACTTTCCTGAAAAAAATATTGAAAGAGTGGACAAGTCACACTGCAGTTAAAAATTACATGGAACAGTTTACCGTTGTCTTCTAAGTTTCCTATTTCCATTGATGACATTTTACATAACAGAAACCTAGGTTAAAATTAATTCCTTATGCTGTTTGGGGAGTAATAACTCACAGAAATACTTTGCTGTTTCTCTCTTCCACACCCAGGTATTTTTGTGTAGATTTAAGTTACAAAACATAGCATAACATAACATAATATAAATACAGCCATGATAAAATGAGTTTGATTTAACCCCACTTAAATACAACCTGTCCCCGTCTTTTTATTTTCTGCAATACATACCATTATTTTCCAGATGGGATATCCCATAATAAAGAACACAAGTCAGGCCTCCTATCTATATACAGAATGAAAATTAGTTTGAGTACAAATACAGCATTTCTAATGACACTGTTGTGTGAGGTCAATGTTCTGTTTATCTACAGTACAAGATGTTACTTTCCAAAAACTGAAAGACAGTTTTACTTGTCAAGTGATCATAAAAAACTGTTAGTGCCCTGCAGCAATTTGACAGCGCATGGGAAGAGAGGCAAAGGCAGAAGTTTAAAAGCTACCAGAGCAGTAAATACAGTAGAACAAAGACAGAAGACAGACTTTCAGTGTTAAATCTATATTCCTTTATCTTAAAAATGTTCTTGAAAAAAATTCTAAAAATGGCAGATTCACTAAGAAATAACTAACTCTCCCATGTAGATAGCTTTATGTGGGAAAAGTGATAGAGTAGCCCACCCTCTGACCAATGTAAAATCATTAGAAGATGCTCATATTTTCCAAAATCTCAGTCAAAAATGTTTTCAGTTGCAAAATAAATGTCCTGTTATGAACATCGCATTAGTCTTCAACCAGAAAACTCAAAATCAACATGCCTTAAGCTAACATTAACTTAAATTTTATACCTGCAGCATTAAACTGAAATTATTTTATCTTGTATTTTCCAGAATTAAGATTTTTTTTTTCAGAAAAAGTATGTTGGGTTTTCTCATTTAAACAGTGCTTCTGAGAATCCTGAGACTCTAAGCAGCACCTGTTAGTGCTGGGAATTTTCTGCTGACTTACACCTCAAACTAAATTAAGAATTGCTGTAACAGGTGTCTATGCAATAAAGAGTAAGAATCTCCAAATTCTACTACCAGTTGAAAAAAGAGATTCTTTCTTAGATCTCTTATTGAAAATTGATCAGATCATAAGGCACTGATTTAGATCACAAGGCACTGATTTAGTCAGGCTGCAATGGAGAAGGAATGTGCTTTTTCAGTTTAATAAAGCTGAGCACAATATGGTGAAAGTATAATTAAATTTGCTTAGAGATCTTCTGTGCCATGCATTTTGATTATAAAATACAGGCTAATCATTCGGATGTTAGGGCTGTTAATGGATATACTAAAAGAAGGAGAGGCAATTAATTGTATTGATTTGGCATGGCCTCAATTTTTTGGTAGTGGCAAAGAGGGGCTAAAGGGGTGGCTTCTGTGAGAAGCTTCCAGAAAGTCCTACCACATCCAGCAGAGCCCATCTCTGATGGCTCTGAAGATGGATGTGCTGCTGGCCCAAGGAAAGACTGGGCCAGCAGCACAAGAAAGGCTGGTAACGCCTCTGTGATGACATTTAAGAAGAAAATAAAAACAGTGCATGTCGCACTACAACACTAAATAATTCACACATGCACACTAAGATCAAAAAAGCAAAAGGAAGCAAGTTTTATTTCTAACCTTGCAATATATACAATTCCAAAAGTGACAGTAGATTGGAAGACGAAATTATCACCTCTCCAACCACACTGGTCAAATGAACAGTCCATCAATTCTCTCCTTCCTCAAAGAAGAATGCAAAACAATCATTATTTACATGACAGTGCATGAGAAACTCCAGTAGAATTATCTAAACATCAGAAGGCATAGCAAACTTTTAGAAGAACTTAAAACTTTTAAAAGAACAGGGCGACAAGTGCACACACATTTTTTTTCTCTGGGGTGGTGAGGCAGCATGAATGCCATCATTTTTGTGCAGCCCATGGCTTCCCCTTGCCTGGCCCCTGCCCCTAGCCAGCTGTGCTGCTGGCAAAGAGGGCAGGGGCAGCACGGCTTCCCCTTCCTGGCACCCCGCAGGAGAAGAGGCGTCGAACAGCGCCGGCGCTGTGGCAGCCACCACTGCTCACACGGTGGTAGCACAGCCACGCGGCTGATGGCGAAAACATGGCGAACACGGAACATAGATGAGATCAACTTCTTGGCACTAAGGGATCGTGCAGGAATTGTTGCATTAGTGGAACTTGTTAGCAATGGTACCTACGAGTAGCAGTTTTACTTCTAGCTAGAGGAGGAAGTGAGGATATGTGAAGGAAAAGAACATGGCAGCACCAAGGTCAGTGCAGAAGGAGTGGGAGGAGGTACTCCAGGTGCTGGAGCTGATTCCCTGCAAGCTGTGGTGAGGACCACGGTGAAACAGGCTGTCCCCCTGTAATGCATGGGGGAAAAGTAGGAAAAGTGCTAATGCTGAAGCAGGTGGATATCAGAGGGCCCTAGAGATAGAGGGCCCTTGCTTCCAAAGTAAAGCAGCATATCCTTAGAGGACTGCACCCCACACCACACCAGTTTTTGGGAAAACTGCTTGCCCATGTAAGGGACGCCATGGCATGGCAGAGAGACCACTGCTCTCCCTGAGTGAACAGATGATACCTCTAGTGATGAACTGACCAAACCCCCACGCCCTGCCTCCCTGCACTGTTGGTGGGAAGGAGGAAGGGACAGGCTGGGAGGAAAAAGGTGTGTAAAAGGCTTGTTTTACTTCTCATTATCCTCCTCTTACTCTGTTATTAATAAATTTATTTTATACTTTTAAATTTGAACCTGTTTTGCCCTTACAGTGTTTTTCTCCCAATCCTTATCTCAATTAATGAGCCCTTCATTATTTTTTTTCCCTCTCCTCTGACCAACTGTAGCCAGACAAAGAAAATGAACAGCTCTCCTGGAGTTTGGCCAGTGTCAAACCATGACATTACTTAATGACATTCAATTTGTTTTAAATTTTTTTACCCAAGATCCACTACTATTTTGTCCAGTAAAATATTTTTTCTGAATTTATCTACCATTTAAGCAATATTTTACTTGAAGAAATTAAAAGACAATTCTTTCACATTGGCTAAAATACAGTTTTACAGCATCTATGCTAATACAATTTAGGCAATATAAGAACAAAAATTCATTTTTTGGTCAGCTGAAGAAAGCAAGCAGAACAAGTAAGGAGATTTTTTTGTTTAGTTGGGACTTTGGGTTTTTTGTTTGGTTGGGTTTTGATATTTTGGGTTGGGTTTTGATATTTCTGATATTTTGGCTGATTTACAAAAAAACTTTAGGATGCAGGAAAGCAGGTTTTATGATTTTTATGAACAGCCCCAGTTGTGTTCTAAATCTGATGCCTGTACAGTATTCATTCAAGCATCACTTTTAGAAAATGCTTTAAGAAAAAGCACTCTTTGCTGTGGCATTATTGCAGATTTAAAAGAGAAACAATAGTCTTTTTATTGGTCCTTCAGCTTCATTAAAAAAAAGTGAAAGCTCATTATTTCATTAGAAATAATTTCTAATATTTATTTGCTGTGAAAATATGTATCAATGGTTTATTACTTCTCCTAGCTTCAGTTCAAGAAGGACTGCAGCACTAAGGTAGACAGATCACCATTACTTTTATTACTCCTGTCTTTGAACAGTGGTAATTGTTTTTCTTTCTACACCATTCTTCTGCTTGATTAACTGCTAAATGGGATTGTATTGTTTCCACCACTACCTCCACCAATGATACTACACTTAGCCTCATGGGAAAAAATTGCAACTTTCACAGAGGTCACAGAAATCCAGAAAAGGACAGTGATGAACACCCAGGATTACCTGTTCTAACCATATTACACATGTCACTAGTATATTTTGCTGCTTTTGAAGAGAAAAAGACCTTATAGAAGGGGTGCACTAAAAGTGAGCATTGAATAAGCAAACAGCAAACAAATAAAAAGAGTAGTCTATTCAACTAAAATGATCTGAAGTGGCTGTAACATTTTGCTAAGTTCATGGAACCCTTAGGTCCACTGAAGTTTTGTTGTTTTAAAATACGCAGTAGGATGCAAATCTTTCAAAGTTAAGATGGTAAATATATATTTTTAGGGTTCTGTTTATTTTTAATAATCCTACCCTGTTACTTTTTAACCTCAGTTGCTAAACAATCTTTATTGGGAAAACTGCTGGTATATCCATGTACTAGTAGTTTCAGAAATGTATATTAACTAATTTTAATTCGATAGTATCTTATTGAATTCCTGCTGAAATTTGGTCTTGGCATAAATGTTCAGCTCAAAAGCACACTGTTGAAGGTCTTTTACTTCAAATTACTTTTATCTTTCAAATAACTGAGGTGTTTCTCCCCAGTGTTCATGTGGCATTTTCCAGACAAAAAAATTTAACAAGTGAAATGAAAGTTAAAAAAGAGAGTGACATTAAGGCATGTTTAGGCCAATATACAGTACAGAATTATCAGATGAGTATGTAGGGTAATTTAAGATTCAGTGTCAAATTCATATATAACAGTAGTTTGTTAAAGAAGGAAAGAAATTTAATGCCAACAGTTTATCCACTCATGCAGAATCAAAGCCTCCCCATGCAAATAATTTTTTAATGAGCAAAATAAGGTGAGTCTTTGAAGGTGTATGTGCTATACTGCAAAATTTGGCACGAAGACTTGGCTCTAGTAGCAGAATCTGTGTACGCTTTTCTCTCCAGATTTGTTTTCAAAACTAAAACACCCTGTAGGGGAAAAAAGAAAAACCTTTCCAATATTCCAGAGCAGACACACTTCAGACATGGAGCATTGTGGTGGCAAGAGGAGTCTCTTGACCCCGGAGCTGGAGGAAGACAGCTGTGGGTACCCTGGGTAAACAGTGCTCCTGTGATGGAGTGGGAGCAGGGTCCCGGCCAGAGGGACTCAGTGCCGCCACAGTCAGGGCCTCCAGTCTCGCAGGGTAATGAAAGAAACAGGCATATGCTGCCTGCTCCTGACCCAGGCTGTAAGGCTTGCACTTTGGCCCTGACAAAGGCATGGGCTGCAGCACAGCACACAAGTGACATTTACTCTTGCTGTTGGCCAAAAGGCAATGACAGAGGCATGAAACAGCTTGAGGGGAAGGCTTATATCCTGCAGCTGCTCTGCTGCAGCCAGACCATGCAATTCCTAAATAGATGATTTCTAAATCTGTAAAATCCCTTCCTGGACCATGGACATTCCTAACACAGTCTGGATATTGCATATTTCTGATTTATGGTCGATTTCATATAAATCATAAACCTTAGAAAAAATTAATGGAATAATACAATAAAAATGTATTTAAACAACTAAAATTGGATTTCAGCGGAAAAGTGAAAATTTCTTGCTTTGGGAATATGGTAATATGGGAGTTGGCCATTTGCCCTTGGTACAGCTCTACTTTCCCTCACTATCATGGCCTGCCTTAGTTTTACTGGAATTGCAGATAATACTAATAAACTAAATGATAAGGCAATAAAATCACATGGAATTGGGCTAAAATGTATTATTGTTATTTTTGCTGGTTTTGTTGTTGTTGTTGTTCTTATTTTACTGGATAGCACAGATAGTTTTTCTTGTGATAAATACCGATGGGAGAACAGATCCAGTTCTACAAGCATGTTAATGGCAGTTTTTCCATTGCTCATATTCCTAACACACAATTTTCAAGCAAACATATCTGCAGTTACCTGATCTTTCCCCCCTCTCTCTCCTCAAGGCCCTGCTAGGCAGTCCTGCCAGCTCCTGGGCACAGCCCTCATTGTACTCAAAAGTTGGTTTGGGGTTGAAGTGAAGCACTCTGACACCAGCTCAGGACAATGGAGCCTTTTAAGGGGAACAGTGAAGGGAGACGTGGATAAAGCGCCTTCCAGGGTATGTTCTGAATTTAAAGCTGACATGATGAAACTCTTCATAACTCCCACCAAATGCTGCATACACATCCAGCCATGTGACAAGGAGCATGGCTGGACGTAGCTTTTGCCTCCATATAGGGTGCATAAATAGTCTCTTGGTGGGTATATGAGTCCCCCACATGCTCACCAGGCAAGCAGGAGGGCATGCTGCTGTGTAATGCTAACAGTGACTATCCACCACTGTCCTGACACCTCTGTCATTGTCCTGACACCTCTGTCATTGCACTGAAGTGCTGCCATAGTTTGACCAAAGTGTGTGGGAAGGAGCCCAACGGAGGCCAGGTGCTAACATAGTATGATCAAATGGCTTGGGTAGGGAGAGATCTTAAAGATCATCTAGTTCCAACTCCCCTGCTGTGGGTAGAGATGCCACCCACTGGATCAGGTTGCTCAAGGCCCCATCCAGCCTGGCCTGCTGGGTATCCTCACACCACTCACAGACATGCACAGGCTGTATCTGCTGCAATGTTCTTACACTTGTAAGGAACTGGTCACAGAGGGGCACTCTGTTTCCTCATCCTCAGGAGACCCCAAAAAACACAGAGGCTGAAGGTGGCAATATTGTAGAGAAGGGATTTGGTCTGTTGGAAAATGTGTGAAGGATTTACAGATTTGGATTTGTAAATCTTTGGATTTACAGATTTCTGTGCCAAAGATATATTTTAAATTTAAGATTTGTCTGTGACTTTTTTTGTTCCCTTATTTCCAGACCAATTCATTGCTTTGGTCTGGCTACAGCTATATTGCTTGGGTGTAACACAATTCTTCAAATAGACATATCATAAATGTCAAAAAAGAATTTATAATAGAAATGTGTAGAGAAGCCTAAGTACACAGTGCTGGAAGTTGCTCTGCGGAACTGTATACACCCAGCACTTTGTACAAAATCTGGCCCATAAAAACTCATTTTTATAGGAGATCCACCTATTCTGGATCTCTGTTTCATCTAGAATGTTAGCAGAACTGTTGATCAGGAGAAACTGCTGCTTCTAATGCCATTAAGCAGAAGACTCTGGCATGGCAGCAGCATGTATTTAAGTACTAGGACATATGCTCTTTCATGGAACAAGTTATCTTAATTATGAAGGCATTCATAATATCACAAGCTATTAAAAATAAAAGACATGTCAGTAGAATAACTTTCAAACAGTCTTGCAACTGACATGTGCCTGTATCTGTGCAATCAAGGTGGGACTTTTACACTTTACCAACAGAATTGTGGGTAGGTTGTTTTTTTCTTTAAGTGTAAAAGCTAAATGTTTTACAGATACAGGCAATTTAACGTAGCTAGTTTTCAATGTTACCAAAATCTCTCTCTCAATCTTGTTTTCAGAGTGAAAGGATAATCTTTTTAATTCGCTAATCTAGGACTTAGAAGCTCTGAATTCTATCCTGGTCTGCCATGGACCACAGGTAGCAGGAGTGCAGCAACCCCTCCAGCCTTGGATGGTACACAACCTGGGAGAGGGAACCTCCCTTATTTAGCATTTGCAGCACTTGGTATGCCATTTTAATACAAATCATAGGGGCTGCAGTGTAGGAGGAACCTGTCAAAGTCACTGAATTGTTGGTGTGTCAATATCTGCTAAGCTGCCGCAGGAGATGTGACTGACAGATGCAGCTGGGTCACCCAGCACAGGGCTGCAGCGGTGCTGGGTCCACAGGGCTCTCTCGTGGCAGTGACAAGTGGAGCATGACTGCCAGCACAGGGACCGGAATAGCCGAACCTTCTGCTTCTGGCATCGGAGGAGCGAGTCCCCCACAACTGCTGGCCAGCAGTGGAGCTGCCATGCTGCTCCTTTCCTTGCTGATGAAGGCCCCAGGCAAACCACAAACTGCTTAGACCTGGCAGGGGACCAAGAAGAGATAAATCAATTTAAAAGGCAGTTCAGCTTGATAAACCGGATAAGTTTCTACTCCTGCAGACTCGTGACATCTAAACACTATGGTAATAGCTTACCAGAAGAACAGCATATGTGTTTTCTTTAGCCATTCAAAACTCCCAGGGTTGGCACAACTGCTGTGTGGACTTTAGCATGCTACCTGCCTTACAAAAGCTTCTGATGCTGTGCTTCATTGCTCAGGGGTGGTGAAGGGCACAATATGCTTTGTGTTTGGTTGTTTTCTTCCCTGTAAGTCAGCCTCAGGCCTTTGAGAAACATTTTGCCAATTTAATCTGCCAATAGGAACTGGTGGTTGCATAGCTTCCTCTAAAAAGTTGAAAAAGCCACATAGCCAAGGACAGGTGAAGGGAATAAATAAAAGTATATGGGGACAAACTCAAGGTCAGGAGCAGCCCAGGTGAATGGCTTTGTTGTCAACACAGCACAACCCAAAGCCTCATTACTGAAGGTACAAATGAAGACAAATCCAAGCATGGGAAGCGTGTTTCAATGGGAAACAGCCTGCAGCATAACTGGAGTGGGATTCTCTCTAATAGAGCGAATTTATAATTTTGTTTCTGCAAAGTGGACTTACACATGAGTGCCAACATAGAAATGGCTCTCCAAAGCACCAGTCTGAGCCATTTGCATCATGTGCAAATGGCACAGGTTTACCTTCTCCCACCCTCTCCGTGTTTTCCCTCTCCACTAAAGCACATTCATTTGCTGTTCACACAATTCTCTCTGCTCTCCCTCCTTTTTCCACTCTGTCTCTTCTAGTTCTGATTCATAAGAGTTTTACTGTCAAATACAAATGGCACTTGGAATGAAGCAGTCATTATTAGATATTCTGCATGTAAATTTTAAGTGTCCAACAAACCAGATCAGCTGTCCTTTTCTCTGACCCAGCCATCTGTGGGCTTGCTGTGTTGGATTCTCCATCTCATGATGCCAGTTGTTTGCCTGCTCTGCAGAACACAATTGAAGGTGAGCGGAGTATGCTATTGGATATTCAGATCAGCTTTTCTTTCAGTTTTGCAGTTTCAGATCATTGTTACTTCTGTGTAAACTGATTAAATACCCATAATCCTGCCATTTCATTTGTACACATTTATGAGTATTCTATCCGTAGTTCACCTACTAAATTTCTCCATGAGGAAAATTAGGATGATAGCAATCTCTCTGCCAGGATGCAAACAACATCATATGCTCCCATTTAGCCTGCTTGTTTTACAGCTGCAGAGGACTCTTTGAATTTTCTGGGAGATGGGAGATCAGGCTCCATAGCTGTCTGCTCAGAGGCAGACGAGATTATGAAGAATCAGTTTTCCCAGGTTTCTCTTTCTAGAAGTTGTCCTTAAATCACTGTGACAGAAAAAAGTGAATGAGATACCTCCTCTGCTTTATTCCAACTACTATGGAGCTGGAATATTTGTCACATGTTGCATATGACAAGGCAATTTGTAGCTAATATGCAACTACACAGAAAACACGAGAGAAACATGATGGGCCTTTAACCCCGGGTATGAGGACATCTAAAATAATCATAAGCCAAATGAGGACAAGAAGATAGCACAAGATGTCTCACACTGTTGCCTTTGTGTAAACACTCTATCTAACTCTGATACTGAATAACATGGTTTGTTTGTGTAAGTAGAAGGATTGAAGGAAAACACAGAAACACTAAGTCCACTTGAGTCCAACTGTGAACCCAGCCCCACCATTGGGGTAGCTCCACTACCCCAGTACAGGGACTAGTTGTAATTTACTAAACATAACACTTGCCAGTAAAATAACAGCACCACTATGTCAACAACTCTTGACATAGTCAATTGTCATTTATAAATGTCATTGTCAACAATTCTTTTTCCTTCCCCCGCTCTCAACTTTGCTAGCCATGAAAAGCCCTCTTTCTCAAAAGCAACTTTTCCTTTCCTTTTCTTTTTCCATTCCCTTTCCCTTCTTCAGGTAGACCCATCACTTGGGAATTTTTTCCTTTGCTAGCACATTAAGGGCCTTGACAAGTAGAGAACAGTATAACTCACAAGTATATATGTCTCAGCATGAAAAAGTCTATGAACTTAAATTAGTCTTTCCTTGCTTGAAATCAGGGAAGATAAAACATGCTCAAATATTAACTCTCGCTTACTTCAGGTATGTACAACTAGAAAACTGATCCTGTGTCATAAAAGCTATGCCAAGAATAAAAGTAACTAAAACAAATACTAATATTTAAGGTACTATATTTTGATAGAAATAAGTAAAGTGTCCTGATCTTCAAAATTCATGATCATCCAGTACCTCCTTAGATCTTAAGGCACCATATATTAGTATCGCTAATTTCTGTATTGTTCTTATTTAAGTAAACAGAATAGGTATAATCTCACTGTAAACAGCAGAATTTCTCAAAAGTGAAATTTAGTATGAATTGCAGAATTAAATAAACTTTATTTAGCTTAAATAAAAAGAAGTATATTAGGTGACATTTTCTTTTAAAATGTACCAGTGGTAATACCAGAAAAAAATATTTCTGGCTGTTAATACTTCCAGAACCACTGAAAAGGAATTTATACTACAGAATCTTTACAATCCTTATTGAATTATGATGTAATTGAAAACAACCTGTGGACGAACCTGTCTGCAAAGCCAAACAGTCTCTCTTGAAGTGAGTTGTTAAAATGCACTGTTGAAGTTCATTTGTTGGAGCTCATTTTGAGCTCTGAAGCTCACTAAGGCAAAAACCAAGATACCTTATGATTTTCTCTTGCTCACCACTCCACTCAGATCACTTCAGAACTTTTAGTCCAGGGCACAGAAATGTCATGCTTGGCTTTGCTGAGCACAGTGAATTGCCAACTACCACAGCTTGGAATCTGTGCTACTTCATAAAGGAAATTTTAATAATTTGCATTTACAACATTCAGAGAAACATCACAATTACACAGTAAAAGCTTAAGAATCTAGGAAGTTCCTATAGCTCATGGCAGCCTAAGTAAGTTTAATACTGAATTTTAAGTCAGTGACATAAACCATTCTAAATACAGTCCACTTACAATTTCAGACACGCTCAAAGCACTGGTGGGAATTTCGTTCTCAAAATTTGCCTAGTAGACAAGACCCAAGAGTCAGGAAGTGGCAAAGCTGTTGTTCTCAGCCCAAGAGGCTGCAGGAAAAAAGACAGTTGCTGAGTCAGACAGAATTTCCCCTGAGGACTCTGGCTGCAGACCAGCCTCTGGAAGACCTGCCAGCTCACCTAAGGGTAAAAGCAAGGCAAAGATTTAAAAAAGCCAGTATAGCTCATAAAGAAAGAAACTAAATTTTGGCATGACTTTTTTTGATATTTTAAGTTAGGTCTGTGGCAAAGAAATCTATGGAATCTTAGAACATCTGTATGCACAATTTGTATAGTCTTTCCAACCTCGGCCACTGCTGACATAGCCAAGAGCTCTGAGTGCTGCTTGGCTGAATGCTGCTGTACCTGCTAGTGTTACCATGGGAATGGACACTGGCAAAAGTAGGATTAGAGCTTTAAAGTAATTAGCACTTTCACCTTTTTGGAGATTGTATCCCCAAAAGCTCCCAAATAGTGAAACCACCCAATTCAGACTCATCAATATAATAATTAGTGTCTAAAGAGGCATCAGTTAACATGATCGATGTGGGAATGACACACAAAAGGAAGGCATTGCTGGAGCCGGGAAGCAGTGGGTTCCTGTGGCCTTCTTTGCTTATTACTAATAAGGAACTCTGCTTCTTTGCTATGAGTCACTGTTCCAGTTTCATCCTTAATTAATTCAGCGTCAAGAGAAAGGGCACTAAAGTGAAGAGAAGCTCCAGAGATGGCTCAATGAAATCTGCAAAAGAGGGGGAGGGAAAGAAGTCATTACAGGAACAAAATTTGCGATCATAGAGAGGAAAAAACTTGTGGAGAAATCTAAGTACAGCGTTTCTTATTACACTGCAACTGTCTGAATGAAATACCTAGACAAAGAAACGCTTGTCAGAGCAATGCTACCCAGTCCTTATGCATGAATCTTTCATCCAGACAGTGAGTGTAGCAGTTAGTACACTGTGATCTGCACAAGTTTCTACAACATGGCAAATGTCTTCAAAGGTCTCTCAGTGTTTCCAGCAACATTTTTAAATACGGAGGGTCAGAAGGGAATTTTGGAATTTGGTACAATTTTATGCTTGCTCAATTCTTCCACAATAGCCTGCTTCTATTTAGGTTGAATAAAGAACTCACCTTCAGCGACCAGTGAAGTGATTCCTTGCATAATTATCACTGCTTCTAAAAACATTAACATTTGGCTGGATACAGCCTGAAAAGTTTTGGCTGTGGTTATGTAGCAGAAAAAGACACACTTTCAGAAGGAACTGATGAACACCCTGAAGAAAGATAGGGCAAGATAGTAAGTAAATTTTTTTCAATTTACTGGCTTACTAGTGTATATTGACAATCTCTTAACACATATATGTTATTAAAAAAAATTATAATTACCTATGTTCATCCCATACTGTTCTTTGAGGCTGCCTTTGAGTAGAGCTGGGCAGCAGAGCCAAGGTCCAGGCAGAACCTGTGAAATGAAGCTGTGTCCCTGGGGATGTCCTTTGTGCAAGTCCTACTTGTTAGTGTGTTCATCCCCCACTATCTGTTCCCTTTGAGTGTCTTGTTACTTATGCATTATCACACAGTCTGGTCACTACACAGCAGAGCAAATAAAGTGTCTTTGTCCCTCCTATCCCCATCAACAGTGATGAAGCATAGTGAACTTTTACTTTGTTGGCTAAATATAGGGGAGTACACTGGTGGGGGGAAGTATGTTGCTTTAAGCTATGTGTTGTACAGCTGTTTCTCATGCATCTGGATTTTCAGGACCTTTTAAGATGTCAAGTAATCTTCTCCTACTTATTCGGTGCAGGAGTTTTTTGCAAAGACACTGAGATCCAAAGTTTCTGTTATTCTTCAACAAAATACCATTGAGACAAAAGATTCTATCCTTCAGATGCATTTGTCATAGCCCATCTCCCTGCCTACTGCTGTTAAACGCTTTTAAATGAGTGTGAAGTTAGGCCAAGTTCTTCCACTAAGGGCAAAACATTGCTATTGCTGTGGGTGGAACCCTTCTCTGCTTTCCCCATGACTACATAGACATAACTGGCTGGACGGCTTCCTTACAATAGAGCACCCTTGAGACATTTGTGCATGTGAAAGACACACATTTTACAATGGCTCATTTCAGAGAAGATGGAGGCTTTTTTTCCAGAAAGAGAGGTAGGCAGAGGCAAGAGTGGTGAAGATCACCTGTGTGGAGGGAACTGTCATACCATGTGACTGTGTGTCAGGAGGTACTGTGGCTGCTAGGCACTGTGTTTTGCTCCAACACACAGTTTGGACATTTTCCAAAATCATGCTGTCTGCTCCAGACACTTCAAGATGCTTCCAAAATTCCTAGGCTCCCCAGCTGCTACCCAGAGCCCTCCCAAATAGCTCTCATTCCCCAGAAAAACAAAGCAGGCAAAAGCCTCAGTAATGGCTTTACTTTATTCACAGTCTACTGCCCAATTTATTCGCTAACTAGCTTTAAAAAGTTAAATAGAGAAAACCCACTAATGCTTGCATTAGTCAAGTAACTGTCTTTAGCTGTAAGAGAGTCACAGCTATACAACCATGGTGTATTTTGTGGGCCAGCACAGTTACACGAGACTGAGTTTCAAGGCAAGTATGCAGAGTTAGGAGGTGCTATAATTAAGATACATAGGGTTAGGAGGTGCATAATTATGTTCAACCATAATTATACCCATTGGTGACTGTGCTTTATGATACAGTCTTCAATTACATGACCACCTCCTTTCTTTTCCCTATTGGATCTGTGCCTGTATCAGGACTGTCAACATGGCACAGTGCTGCAGGATTGCCCAAACTGCCATTAAACATTCAATTTAACACACTGGGAAGTGCAGTAGTATTTGCATTGCCTTCTGTTCAGGACACACTACCCTCTTTTGTGATAGAGATGTTTGAGGCATAGGAAGTCTGAGCTCACAGATTAAAATGTTCTCATGCAGATTTGAAAAAAATCCAGATTTGCATGTCTGGCTTGCATATTAAAAGCCTGCATTTATATATAACTTCTAAAATGCAGCATCTTTATGAACTGTTTTCTTAACTACAGGATAAGAAGCTGCTTACCAGGACAGAATTTTTTCACACAAAAGGCCTTCTCCAGCCTCAGTTTCTGTAGTAAAATTCTTACTGACTAAAATGGGAGTGGGATTATGCCTCTGGCACCTGCTATCCTGCCTCACTCCAAACAAAGCATTGTTCACTTCAGCCTAACCAACAGGAAAAACTGCAAGGGTAATTTCTCAAGTCACAGCACCAATACATAGAGACAGTGTGACAGACTGCAAGGCTATTACTATTGCTTGCAGTGAAAATGTGAGCTGGCTCTTCAGATATATCTGGCACATCTTTGTGCTTCATTCTGAAAAGCAGAGCACAGCACTCATCTTTTACAGGCATTCACATGTCAGTATCATGAAGAAATATTTATACTGTGAGCAGCTAACAGCAATCTTTCATAATTGCTTATTAACATCTCCATATTTCTGAAGTATGGTAGAATAATAGTTTCAGTGTTACTTTGTAATGCAATGACAAAACTGAAGTGTAACTATTCATAATTTTAGCATCTCTATCTGAAATAAACAATCTATATACCAACTATATTGGTAGTTCTAAAACACAGTCCCAAATGATAGGCTAACAAAAATCTGATTTTTGCAAAGACACTACTAAACTATAGCTCTCCTTGTAACATAAAACTAGACAACTAAGTCATGGAGCTTGCTCTAGAATAAAAGTGTGCTTGAAAATTCATGACTACATGCATCAAGTAAAGCATACAAAAACCTTACTGTTTAATTAACAGTGTAACTATCTATCCTATGAAATAGATAGAACTGCAGAAGAAATTAAAAACATGCATCTATCAAAAAATATGCAAAAGAGGGACAAACTTACTAATGGAGTCCAAAAAAAAAAAAAAAAAAAGAAAAACATATTTCAGAATTTATTTATTTCTTTGTGCTGTGACCAACCTCGGAAACCATTCTACAAAACAGCTCAAGTGAGGCTACTTTCTTTTCTCCAGCTGAGCACTTGGCATGGCATTCTTGGCACCACAAATTCCATCAATAAATCTCAGTAAGATTTTTGGCATCAGGAACAGAACTATTTCCACTTTCTTTTATCATATTGAACAACCCAGAGCTGTTATGGTTCAGTGTCCCTGGAACAACTGGAGAAGGTTTTTTGATGCATTACATTTCACTAGGATATATAAGATTAAAGATCTTATTATATCTGGAAACAAAACAAGTATTTCAATCAAGTTGTAGTCTCTTTCCCCATCGTCCCACAGCAATAAATATTTTTAACTTCAATCTGTTAGTTACATCCTATTTATAAACGCCCAGTTCTCTTACCAATACCTCATATGAGAGGATGAACTCTAGTTCATTCTCTTGGTGATATTTTTCATGTTTCTCCTTTCAAAAGTTAAAATATCATGATGTCAGATTTTGTTATCAAGGAAGAATAAATGCTGAAGTTGAAGATCACAGTCACCTTATTTACACCTGCAATTACTACCCACACAAGTGTCATCTTGCTTTTAGTTTCAACACATCTTCCAATGAAGCATATACACACTGTCATTTGCAAGTCACTCTCCTGCCCTTTGCTTTTTTCTTAGTATGTGACATCTACATTTGCATGTCAGCCTGACATCTTTTTATCCACATTTCCAAGTGTTAGACACAGAGAAGCAGCCACATGGATACCTAGCTCATTTCAGTTGCATCAGCAGCCTTGTCAGTAGTTCTCACCAGTAACTGACAATTCTGGCTTTGATGCCAATCTTTGAATATACCATTGTTTGAAATAACCACCTTGCTTTTCCCTTACAACTCTTCCCACAATATGAGATTTCAGGTCTAAATGAGAATACAGAGGTGGTACAACACATATTGATTAAATAATAGGATGGCTGAAATAAATCTATATGTGGATATTTTCTCTTTTTAAAGTTATACAAAAAGTTACTGTAGGAGACATTTAAATATTTGGTGAATGTCAGAGTTGAAATGTCCTTTCAGTTGTTCTCATGAAGATACATTTACCCTGATCATAGAGCTCTAGAACATGTCGTTTGATAAAAACTTGCTGCAGCTATACAGCTGAAAATTTCTGAAATACCCCTGAAATGCTTGAACCTCCCACAGCTTACGGTAGGCTCAATTGCAAATGAGCCATTTTATCACAGGCAAGAGTTCCCTTCAGGCCACATCCACTATATGGGCTGCCTATAATAAAAGTGGCTAACCTGCTCAGGCTACAGCAAGATAAACCAGAACTGTGGAAGTGCAGCTTGTCCCTCTTGTGCCTTCAGTGGTGAATTTCCTGGCAGCAAAAAAGGAGGGAGCTCTGTTATTACTGCAGAAGGAACAATCTGCAAGGGAACCAACTGAATAATTCTTATAGATCTTAAATCTAAAACACAAACTGCAGATTGTGAACTATAGCAAGTTGATGCACAAAAATCTGTGCTATAGAAAAATTAACTAGATGGTATCCCATTATTTCATTGAGTGGAAATAAAGTCCCAGTGGACTGTGCATGTATAATTAAAATGAAAATGTATTTTGCACCCTTTGTTTCCTAGTGTAGGTTAATAATTGAGTCCTTGTAAAATATATTTAAAACAGATAATATTTCCATCCATGTTAGGGACTTTTTTTTCCTTTTTCCCCCAAGGCTGACAATCTAGTCCCTCACTGGTAACTACAACAGCACCAGCACCGAAGATCAGTGAAACAAATGGCATTACTGACTGAAATGCCCAGCATAGAGGGCCACAACTGTCTCCACCTCCATTGTTATAAGAGAATTCAGTGCCAAAAGTAATGCATTAGAAAAGAGTTATAATTCATTGTAATCTTTAATCGTCAGAGCATTCCCTCAAGCAGGGGTGGTCTTGAATATATTGGTGTGTAAGAGAGTATGCAAAATAATTATATTCATAGTAATTCCTTTTGTGCATTTTGGTCATTTAAATTGCATGGGTCAGAAAAAACCCTTGAATATTGTTGCTTTTGCCATATGAAAATTGCTCTGGTATTCTTTATGCCTCTTTGTATGATAGATATGAGATACTGACCCTTAATTTTACATTTTTGTATATTTAATAAAAAATGCATTAGTATTTGTGTTTTCTGGTGAAGAGTTATAGCTATAAAGTTCTTCCAGTGAACAGAAATTTTATCATCACCTTACTGCTCTCTCCCTATTCATATTCAAATCTCCTGTAATCATTCCAAGAATCTTCTGCTTTTCTGGCTGAACATTATTCCTTTCCCGCCCGTCCCCCACAAATGAAATTATTTATGACACTTAAATATTGGTTCTCTAAACAAAGAGGAGATGATGTAATCTGCAATAACTACAGCAGGGAGATAGGAATCCATGCTTACATTTTTAAACCTCTAAGACTGTTTAATAGTTGCCAAAATACTCACCATCTCAAGGTCTCACTTTTTATATGTAGAGGGGGATATTCTTATCCTTGTTATCCTGAAATTTTGCATCTGTCATTCTGTAAAATGCTTTAGACAAAAAATGATCACTGAGAGAAGGACAAAAATTTTTAGCTGCTAGTCCGGTTACCATAGTACCAGAAAGTTTTCAACTCCTTCAACAATGGCTCTTACTGAGCTCAATAGCTCCTCATTCTCTGAAAAATCAACTTAAATTACTAAAGAATTAAAAATAACTAATCCTGAGCTCTGTATTTTAATATGTAAAATTATAGCTACAAAATGCTGTTAATAAACATAGATTACACATATAGGAGTTATACTTGTGTTTGGGAAAAAATCAAATAGTTGTTTAGATTCATTCCTTCCCTTTCTGTCAGTGGAATAAAAGAAGCACTTACAAACATAAAACATTTCAAGGTGAAAGTAGCACAAGAAAGCACAGAAGGCTCACAGAGGTGAAACTGCACAAGGCATAACCAGGAGAAGTGGGGAGGGGACTTATAACCTTCATGCTCAACCCATACTTGCAATATGGGGTGGCTAAGTTTCTCGAAAGACAATCTAAATAAAAGTGAGCACAGAAATGTTATGTATTAAAGATATAGGTAAAAATATGTATTATTCCAAGGTGTGCTGTTGCTTACACTGAGTTATCAGTTTTCAAGTAATCTACAGAAAGTTTTCAAACACCTTCAGACCTGTTTCAGAAATCACTAGCCTGAACCCATAGTACCATCCAATTATTGATAAAACCCTGTAACAGCCAAATCTAATTGAATATCAAGAATAAAATTATATTCTCCTGTACTTCCTTTAAAACTAAGGTAATTCTTCTTCATTAAGTCTGTGAAAGAAAATTAAGTATCTTATTTTCCAAGACATCGTGTTTTTTAATTTTATGACAAACAGCAATATTTCATAAATAATTTTTTGTTTTATAAAACAAATGGAATTACTTCCTTAGCCAAATCTCTCCTCTGAGGATAGCCAGCACATATCAGAACACAAAAAGCCAATATAAAATAAGTAATACCTCAAAATCAGGTAACATCATACATGTTAGCTGCTAAGCTTTGGGATAAAATCCTTAGTGAGATTCTGCAGCGGGAAAGATTGAGAGATTTATTCTCTTGCATCTGAAGTTTTGCTTCTGAAATTTCCAAGTCTGCTGATGCCTGAATTAATCTTTTATTTTTATGTTAAATTCTATGTTCCTAATATAGCGCTTCTGCACAAACTGGAAGTTCTTTTTAATGAAGTCAGCAGTATTTTTATACTTCCAATTCCACTTTCTATTTTAATTAAAGTTGCACAGGAAAATTATATCAGCAACTGAAAAATCTTTCTTATCCTGAGTAATCTAGAGAAACATCATTTTTGTTACAGATGTGGGTTAGCAACACTAATATAAATTTTTCAATAATATTATTTTAGGAATTTTGTTGATAACTAAAGACATGCTACTCTAACATACATATTGGGGATTTATTTGGAAAAACATTCTGCAATGGCTTAAGGAGTCACACCTGTGCAACTTCCTAAACAATGTGCTGAATTTTAGAACTGAGCTCAAATTAATGAAATACATGTATCAGGCAAGCAGAATTTCTACTCTCTGATGTTTCTCCAGCCCAGAAAGCAGTCAAAGCAGCTTGAATTGTCTCTTTTCCTCTTTTTGTTTTGAGATAGTTGCAGTCTCTTCTTCGGGTGTGGAATGTCAAAAGCACAAAAACCTTGAAAACATGAAGCTACCCTGTCTCCTATTCCAAACCAAGAAAAAATGGCACCCTTTCTGCTGCAGAAACAATCTATGTCTCAGATCCTTGTCAGCTACCTTCTTATTTCAAGATACTTAAGAATCATAGAATACCAGACTGGAAGGGGGACACCAAGGATCACCTGGTTCAACATTTTGCTGTAAAAGCATGATCTAGCAAGACGACCCAGCATTGTGTCCAGCTGGATCTTAAAAGTGTCCAAAGTTACAGAATCCACATTTCCCTGAGGAGATATTCCAACTGCCAATTGTTATAATTGAGAAAAATTTTCCTGTTCTGTCCAATTGGAATGTCTCCAGGAGTAACTTCTACTCATTACTTCTCCTCCTTCCCATGTGATTCCTTGTAAATCTCCATCTTCTCTGTAGCCACCCTTTAAACACTGGAACATAGGGATAAAGTCTCCCCTAATCCCTCAAGGCTGAACACAGTTCCCTCAGCCATTCCTCACTGCCAGGCTTCCCAGCCCTGGGACTGCCTTTGTGGCTCTCCTCTGGGCCTCCCCAGCCTGTCCCCATCTGTTCTGTGCTTTGGGGGCCAAAACCAGACCCAGTATTGCAGGTGTGGCCTGACAGGCCCTGTGTGGGGTGGGATAAGGACTTCATCTCTGCTGGTGAGGCTCTTGTTGGGGCCACCCAGGAGCTGCTCCCTTCCTGTGCTGCAGGAGCTCACTGAGCACTCTGATGGAGCTGATCCACCAGGAGCGCCCGGCCCCTTCCACAGAGTGCTCCCAAGCTGTGTGGATCCCTGTCTGTGCTGCACTCCTGGACTAAGGTTTTGCTTTTCCAAGTGCAAAACCTTACACTTGGCCTCGCTGAACTTCACAGTGTTCTCATCATCCCACTACTGCAGCTTATCCAGATCTTTCTGCAGGGTGGCTCTCCCTTCACAAGCACCCGCTTCCTCGACCAGCATATTATTATTGAAAAACTGCACCATGATGCACTTGATCCCATCTTCTAGATCACTCAGAAAAATAAACAGTGCTGGGCCCAGTATCAGTCCCTGGGAACAGCCCTTGTGCCAGGCTGTCGATTTGAAGAGAAGTGATCGACCACTGCCCTGGGTCAGCCACGTCCCTGCCCACCCTGCGGACCCCTTGTCTAGCCCATAACACATCAGCTTCTGCAGAAGAAGGCTGTGGGAAACAATACTGAGAGCTTTGGAGAAATCCAGGCAAGCAATGTCCACCACTCACCCAACAGCAACTAGGAAGGTCACTCTCATAGAAGACAACCAGGTTTGCCAAGCAGGATTTGCCCCTGGGGAATCCCTGCTGGCTCTTCCCAGTCATGTGCTTCACCTGACATGTGATAGCCCCCAGGAGGATTCATTCCTTAACCTTCCCAGGGGCTGCTAAAATGGGTGTCTCCATATTTTCCAGGATCCTCCTTTAAGCTCTTCTTGCAGGTGAGGGTGACATGAGCCTTCTTCCAGTCTCCTGCGACATTCCTTGATCTACACAACCTCCCTAAGACTATGGAGAGAGGCCTCAAGTCATATGGGTCAAGCTCCAGCAACAGGTCACACATCAACTCTGCCTTCACTGACAGCAGATCTGTGTTCGCATCAGCCTGGGTTTTATTCCCAACACCTGGGGCCCAGCAGGGCTGGTAAGCACAGAGGTGAAGAAACTGTTGAGAACTTCTACCTTTTCAGAGCTGTTGGTGACTGATTCACCTTTCCTGTTTAATAGCAGCCCAGTATTTTTTTTCTGTTTCTGCTTCCTGTTTAAGTACCTGAAGAAGGCTTGTTTGTGCTTTTTGACATCTCTGGCCAATTTCAACTAAAGCTGAGCTTCTGCCACTAAAACCATATCTCTGCACACCTGGAAAATGCCCTTGTAGTTCTCAGTGGGTATTTACTGACAATGCCCTTGTAGTTCTCAGTGGGTATTTACCCATTAAGAAGATAATACATGATTAACAAACATAACTTCTGCCATTCTAGCCTGGACACTTGTTACAATTTGAGAATTTGCAATGCTCAGGCTTTAGACATGCATTTGAAGAACTCAGATAGGATCTTGCACTTGAGACGGACTTTCCTGCCCTGAAATCTATGAATGGTTTCATAGTATATGTCCTTCTGTCCAGGAGAAAGTTCTTGAGAAACAGTTATATGATTGAACTAACTAGGTTTTGCCATGCAATGAAAATCTCTTTTCCTGCGAACCTAGGTAAGTCTTGAAATGCATTAGCCAGTCCTCTGTGTTTTCTCGGTGATCACCATTAGTCTTCTGTAAAAAATTAAGATGGGGTTTGGTTGTTTGTTTCTTTTTTCTTTACAGATCATACCTCTCATAAGGGGTCCTGAATTTCCTTTTCACACATCTTTGGGGGAACAATCACTTTTCTAACATACAATTTTTTTACCACATCAAGCTTACCCTTGTACACTGCATTTATGTTACTTAAGTATCACACCCCCCTATCTTAAGTTTTGTCCGAAAAGACCTAATTAACTGCATTCCAACCCAGATATCATGTTATCTTTCTATTCAGAGTAAACTGAATCTATCTATTTCTATGTAACTTTTCTTGTCTTCAAGGCATATAGATTTCTGGGTACAGCTCTGCTGAGAACTGATCATACTGGATCCCTGACGGCATGAGAGAAGGGCTAACTTGTGATTTAAGCAACTTCCTTAAGTCAAGCAAACTCAATGAAATTCCTAAGGAAAGAGACAGAAAGGAAAGCCAGCCATGTCAAACTTAATCCACACTTCTACCAAGGACTAAAGTGGTTAAGTTCTAAAAAGCCATCCTGGACCAGAAGGTCCCTCTTCAGGTTAAGGGTACTAATGCATGTCTTCAGCAGAGCAAAGTGCATAGAGAAAACAAAATGAAAGAAAAAAGAAGCTTATTTGTCAGTAAGTCTGATTATCTTCAGAGATGTTTTTTTTCTGTGCAGATTCACACCTGTTGAATCTTTCCCGTGGGCATTAAGTTTCATTAGAAATAGTGAAGGGGCCTGTGGCTGGGCTTATCTAGGGTTTACCATGCTTGCTGTAGAAATAGATAAGATATAAACACACTTGGGCAAAAAAACCCACATTCATAATGTGAGCATGTATATATATAGATAAGCACAGCTTATCTATAATACCTCTCAATGTTGGATGATTTTTCTTATCTGTAGAGAATGTGAACATTTTTGTATAAAAATAAAATTTAAACATAAAAGAAAAATGCTATTAATGCTATTAAGTTTAATTGCACTATATTAATTAACATCTTACAGATAGCTGATTTAAACCCTTTTATCTCTCTGGGTCTTAATTCTGAATTTTCAATAGGATGAAAGTCTTAGTTCTTGACTAAACTTAAAATACAAACACACACTTTTAAAAAGTTACCAAGGTGGAAAATATGTATTCCTTTCAGTGCATGCTCTTAAAACACAATGTGTGCTTTGAGACATTTCTCATTAATGCTTTAGGCCAAATCTCTTTCATGTTCATAGAATCAAGTAGTTGCAAAAAAGTTCTGTGACTTACAATACTTGTAACATGTTATACATTATGTGGCTATAAAATTCTGATTAGATTTCTGATCTTTTGTTAGATTTTGGTAGTAATTTATCTTGAATGTTGGACCATGAGTTGTTCTTAACAAATAAAGAATTTAATAAAAGGAGAAATACAAATTGCTCAGTTCTTTGTATTTCTTTGTATTTTTAAGTGTTTCTCCCAAGTTTAAAGTATACATCTCAGATAATGCGTTGACTAAATTCCTGAGGACAGCAACACTTCAGTGGAGAGGTAAGGGAGAGGATATGTTTTGGGCCTGACAGTGAGACCAATCAGATGATATCAGCTCTGCAAAAAAGAAGTCATCTTAAGAAGTCAATCTAACTACAATGAAGAAAAGCTAACCTGGGCTACTCAAAAATCCTATTTGTAACAATAAGTTTGGAATACTACTCAGTTTCTGCCTTCAACAGAGAAAAATACAGCCTTCTTCAACGTGAAATCAAAGGATGGATTTAATTTCTGTCATGTAGAAAAGCATCTGTCTGCTAATTTGTCTTGTAAAAGTTTGGATATCCCACAATCATGCAGTTAAAGAAAACTGTTTCAGGTTAAAATGTTTGCTTAATTTAAAAGTACTTTTTCCACTTGCTTTTACTTTCCATTAGTAGTTTAGACGGCAGTAAGTCTTTGACATTGAATGACATCGGGTGGTTTTACACTTCTTCCCCACATAAACATGCAAAAAATGTTTTTGCTAACATATGATTTATTTTAAAAGGAAAAATGAAATCAATCTGATTTGTATAATACCAGCCATTCTGCTTCACCCTGTTACAATGAATGAAATCTAAATCATTGTGTTTGGTGAACCTAGAAGATGTTTCACTTGTCTTGAGTTAAAGACATTAAGAACAGACTAACTATTGGGACAAACTGCTCACAAAGTTTGTGACTCCTCTTTGCTGTTAAAAATGCGTTTGTTTTCTCTTTGAAATGACTTGGCTTAGCTTCTGGCTGACATTCTCCTACTAAGGAGTCTTTAATATGTGATGGTGATACCCAGAGACTAAAAGTCATCTTTTGCTCTTTCTCCAGTCTTCATACTAGACCAAGCAGTGGGTTCCTTTGATACAGTATCCTATCTCCAGCAGTGGCTAAAAGCAGACGCCCAAAAGAAATGCGAATAGGACTGCAATACATGTTAAAATCTTGGATATTCTTTTTATTTCCACCACCAACTTTGCAAGGTCCTTCCTAAGACGAAAAAGGTTTTATTTTTTTACACACCCTCCACTGGCTTCTAAGACTGGATTGTGTTGAGTTTTATTTTGAAGTAATATAAAACTACCACCTCTACACTATCCTTGGCAAGGAGTTCCACAGCTTAACTAGAACCATCTACATCTACAACCATCTCTGTTTATTTGGAATAACAAGGCTTACTAGCCCCAGTTAAAAAGCAAGCCACCAAAATTTTGTGCAATTGCTTTGCCCATTTTACTGCAGTGGTATGCAGAAGGTACGTGTTTCTACACAGTATTTTCATGCTCACCCATCATGAGCTTGTCTAACCATTTGTTGCTACAGTCTCCTAACAATTCTGATTGAACTGGCTACTGTAACTAGCCTCCAGATACTTTCAGAAGTAATGAATTTACAGGATACAGTCATCCAAGCTTTAGTTTTAACCTACATTGTAGTTGCTACAGGCATGCTGCACCTTCATTTGCTCATGGTACATCAAAATGCCAAAAGTTTTCAAACAATCTAAACAATTTATCGTGACTGCTTTTTTTGGTCAATTCCTTACAAATTCTATCACCAGTCATTTTATATTATTGTTTTATATTTTTATATTCCTGTGTGATGCCTGAAGTACTTAGACCACTGTACCTTGTTCAGTGGTAATTCTATGCCAACAAATACTCCCAACAGTTAGCTGTTCCTAATCCATTTTATGAAACCTCTATTGATATCATATAGTGTCATTAATGAAAATATGCAGCACTAAATCATATAGATAAATCTCTACAATCGCCCTCAACAGGGTTGTAATGGCCAAAAATGATTACATCAGACTTGTCTAAAAAAACTTGTTTTCCATAAAATCATTTGCACTCTGTAAATTATACTCACTGTTAGCTCTTCAGTGATAGAACAATATTTATGCTTCCTGCTGTTTCACTGAAGTTGGATTTCAATCTATGTGACCAATAGTCACCTATTTAGTTTTAAGACTAGAACTCATTAGCAGTGTTTTAGTATAATGACATATATCCAGTTACCCCAAAATTAATAGCACTGGGAAAAGCTTCCTCACCACTAATTCTTGTTTGCTTGGAGGATACAAGTTATCCAACTCTACTCATGCCACAATGATTATTCTTAGTAGATATTGCTTAATGTGCTCCTCACTTAATAGACTGGAAAGTACCCCATTGTTTTCACATGACATTATTACATCACTTGCTTCTTTGTGAATGCAGAAGAGGAACTGAATTAAAAACTGTCTTGGTTGTCATTTGCCATATTAGCGTTTCCATCAACTGAAGGGTCTGTAACACAAGTGGCATTTATTTGTTTTTAACACATTAAGTTATATTATTTGCTATAATGCTTTCATCCATTTTTCTTTGCCTTGACAGTCTTAGCATTCTTTATAATTTTTAACACTTTAAAATTCCTCATTTAATAACTATTTCCTACTTCTGACCACACACTTCTGTTTCGTTTATTTTTAAATGCTGTTTTTACTGGTGACCAGATTGGATCTTAGAATTTTTCACAAGGATTTTTAAGTTGTGAAATTGTGGGATTTTAGCCAATTGAATCTCAAAGACATACAACTTTTTATTCACAATCTTTTTCCCAATAATTTTACTCCTTGATTCTTTTAACACTGAGATTTTTAACCTTTTCAATTCATCAGTAGTATAAAGCAAGCAAGTATTGTTTGAGTCCATTCTCTGTTAATCAATACTGAACAAAATTAGGTCACGATTCTTGATTTCTAGGCAACCGCTTACTTCCAATTCATTTACTTAATTTGTCTGTATCTATTCTAATGAGGTCTAAAATAGATTGACTGCTGTTTGGGACTGCATCTTTAGTATCATCTACACTTTTTACACGCCAGTGGTGATTAGCTATACAGGATTTCTGGCACACACCCCACAAACTGAACTTCCCCAAAAACTTTTTTCCTTCCACCATAAGGATGTATTATTTAAAATATATTAATGAAGAAAATAGTGGCAAAAAAAAAAAATTAATCTCCAGATGTCAGGAAGAAGTCAAGTTCTTAAGTAACAAGCCAGTCTCATGTCCTTTGGCTTGCAAGTAAGAACAAATTTATTCCTAGAAAAACATGTCTTGTTTCTAATTCATAAAACAATGAAAAACATTTGAACAGCCTTTCACAAATCACTATGCATCAAGTTAGTCTTCTTCCTGTTATCTGCCTCTAACATCCACTTCAACCCTTCTACAGCTATTGTCAAAACACCATTCTCCAACTTCATCCTTCCACCTAACTGCTTTCCTTGCTTTTTGGGTACCACATAACCAGCTGATGTTTAGCCTCTCTAACCCCCATCAGTAATCAGTTATCATGCAAACAACTCTTATGCTTCTCGAAAACCCCTCCAGGAATCTCCATTTAATTCAACTACCTTGCACTACCTCCAAAAGGTATTTGGATATTGTTTCATTTTTTCAGAGAGACATGTAATAACTAATAGCCACCACATCTTAGAGAGGAAAGTTTAAATCTCTTACTCAGACTGTTTTTACCATTTATGTAAGAATTACCACATGACTTGCAGGCAATCCAGAAAAAGCATACATGCTGGACCTCTGTCAGACAAGTAGGCAGTAGCAGCTGCTAAATCCATCACTTGGCCGTCTTGTAACCTAGCTACATGCTCAAACCATTTTGTCCTTTACAAAGAAGCAAGAGAAAGAGAAAGCCATTGCCTTTTATCCACTTACTCAGTGGATAATAGGCACTCTCTCCTGAGTCTCTGATTTTACCCTTTCCTGTGAGGCCTTTGTTGTGAAGCCAAAGTCCAATCTAAATTTATAATACAAGAAAATAATAATCCTAAACACAGCGAAATTTTAAGAAGATACGATATTAACTTTAAAAGCTGTCTGTTACAGAAAAAAGCCTACAAATTACTTCTTCATTTATTATAGTGAATACTTAAAGTTGGGTTGGAATAAACTCAGGCTTTCATAGTTTTGAAATTCAATTCAGGGGAAGCCTAGGTTTAGCAGCTCTAGAACAGGCTAGGCTTTGTCAGATACCTATGTTTTGGCATGATTTCATGTATGTGATTGTTTCTGGCAGTGTCAAGGTCATTAACTCATGTTTGCAAAGCAGAAGTATTCCCTGTTTTATTGGGGGACTCCATGTCACAGCCTTAGAATAGCGTCAGAGAAAGCTTTTCCTTTACAAAGCCTTATGCCTGTTATAGACAGGTGCAAAAACAGAAACCAGGTTACTTTTCCATTCCAAAATCACGTCTTTAGAATAAAAACGTGAACATCAATTTAATAGAATCATAGAGTAAGTTTTAGTTGGAAGAAAAAAAGTAATTTAATCCAACCCCAATCTAATTCAGAAGGCTCCAGGATGCAAATATAAAACTTAGCAGACAAGTTTCATATGTTACCACATCAAGATTTTCATAAGCACTTCAGAACATACCCATTAGTCTTTTCTGTTGAGTGCAGTGTTAGCCATAGGCTGATCTGACTTAATTACTGCCTGATGAAGGAACTGGCTTGTACAAAAACAAATTACAGTAAATCCTATTCTTTGGGAACAGATATAGAACATAACACTGCCATTTGTGGTTACAATATGGTTTAGTTTTTTCTTCCCTACACACATGGATATCTATTTGCTGTTAACATAACTGTACAATCATGCAGGCATTTCCACAAACAAGTAATAGCAGACGTTCTCCCGCTCTTCAGTATCTTGGTTACTCAACATTGTACAACATATAAGCACACACACTAAAGAGTCAGGAAATTAAAAAGTCAATTAAATTGTCATAATTACCATCAGTACTGTTCTAAATCTAACTTTTAAATCACATGACTTTTTATCACCACATATTTTTGCCTATAATTACTATACTTACAATTATCTACCTTGGGCCAAGACTGCTGATTTATGCAGAGAAAGGTCTCCCTCATGTGGAAATCTGCCTACCAACTGTAAAATAAAAACTGTGTTTTTTTCTTAATAAAGGTTCCATTGCTTAGATTTGCAGATTCATTTGGGGAAAGTATCACTTAGTATATTTTTTACAATGTTTTCATTCTTCGGAGCTATCATTACAATGTGAAAGAAAAAACCATGTTAATAAGAATCACAAGAATTTTAAACATGCACAAAAAGACAGCAACATACTGAAAGCAAGAGAATGTAAGGGAAATCAATCAAGGCAATATTCAAAGGTTTTGGAATAATCTTGTACCCATCAGTTTTCTCAGTTTTCTCTTCTGGCCATACTAAATACTGTCCAAGATGTTCTCACACATGTGATATCCATGTATTGTCTTTATATGGCCCAGCAAAACTGTGGTTTAAAATTTTAACTGACTATAAGAATTAGATTTGACTTAATTATGTGGTCTGGACAGACTAGAGTTAATCTGTTTTGGCTACAAGTAGTTACAATTCCTCACGTCTAACCAGTGCAGTTAAAAGATAAATCCATTCAGATTTTCCACTTCAGAAACTAATGAAGCTAATTTTTAACTCCGCAGTTTCAATGCTTTAGTAAAAAACAAAATGCAAAAAGTTTCTCACTTTGAGAAACGCTCACAAATTGTGAGAACAATCCCAATTTCAGCCTTTTTCCCCTAGAAAAAATTGACAGCTTCGACCCAAAGTATATCCATTTTCTTTTGCTGAAAAAAGTCTTTTGAGTTGACCAGGCCCATTTTCTTATCTCACTGTTGAGCAAAAAACTATAGACCCTTACCATGTTTACAACTGTGAATTAATGTCTAAAATGTACTGGCTAGTAAATAAAATTTAGAAGCTGTTCATATACATGCTGTAATAGTAAAACCACAGTAAGATATGGTACCTAAGACAAGTGCACTCGGATTAACAGCTTTATTTGGATGGTGTAGAGTTGGCTTGTAAGACTAATTTTTCCTGATTTTGCAGAAAAACTGCAGAATAATTCCTTGATTACTTTCACACTCTCACAGCTGAAATAATTGAATCTAATGCACTTTTTTGTAGCATCTCTTGCATGCCACACTGCAAAGGAACAGGAAAACTTTGAACGGGCTTTTATCATTCCCGTCAGGGATATCTTGCTTCTTCCTTATTTGCATCTCAAAATACTTAAGAAATTAGGTGAAGCCATTAAAACTGCTCAAGTGCAGTATTTCAATGCTAGTGTTGATATAATTTGGAAAACAAAGACCTGATTTGTGGTCATCAACAGAAAGAGTAGTGGAATACCTGCAAAAATCACCAATTTTGGCTGATTTTTTCCTTTTTAGTTATACTTTGTAAGTATATAAATGGTACAAAAATTTAACATGCATCTGAATTAGGTCTAAAAGTACCACACAAAACCTCTGCTGTAAAGGTTCTTAGTCTTGAAATTTGTCAGGCAGCTGGACTGAATTCAAACAGTGACAAAATCAAACACACTTCCTATCCAACAGAGACACTGGTGAACCATCAATACAATAGAGAATAGAGAATAAGAATGAATCTGTTTCCTTTATTGCTGGTTGTATTCTTTTTATCCCCTTCAGTTTTAAAATTAATTCACAAGACATAATTCAAGTGCATCTTTTAAAAGAAAAACATGGCAGTAAGTCCTCATATTGATTAGTATTAATTAGTATTACTTCATAAAAAAATTTTTAAATTATCATCCAATCTCCTCAGCTTCTGCACATCTCAGAACTTTTCCCCCCAATGTTGAATTTTGTAATCCTATGGAATTTTGTTTTAAAAGTCACATTTTTATTTATACAATTTAAAAAATCATCAAAAAATGACCCAGTTTCCCTGAAGTAATACATTGCTAAAATGTGAAATACACTGACATTTCCAGCTGATTCCATACTTATATGCCTTTACAAAAGAATCATAACTTCACTGAACATGTAATCCCTTACTCAATAGGAAAGCTCTCTGGCTTGGTTTACGCTCCAAGAAATTTTGTAGCATATCCATTCCATCCAAAGATCCTCCAGGTTTCAAAATGAGGTTTCTGTATTTCATCCCAGCCTGACAGAAGGTAAAGCAGAATGTTAGTACTTCTTATCTTGCTCACTGCCCCTATTTCTGTATTTGTTACATATTTAAAAATCCATTCATGAAAAAACAACTTTCCTCCTTCCAGATTTTCCTAGTACCAAATAAGGATATATCACAAGTATAATTCAGATCTGGGAAGAACTCAGTAGAGCAGAAATTTGACCAGTTCTAAAGAAATTATGTGTCTTGTGGTTTTACACTGTATTTGAAGCTATAATCACAACTTGTCTGAAGACATTCTATAACGCATAACAAACACACAACCTCCTCAAAATCTTCAGTGAAGGATTACCTGTGTAATCCTTCCTGACAGGCAGGAAGAGGGAACCCAACATTCTTTCTCTAACTGATGATTTCTCTTTCTTGAATCTCTGGATAACAGAGATGATACTTCAGAGATAAGACAGGTGGAATGAGATAAGACATTGTGGAATGGCATGGCACTTACACCCATATAATATACACAGTTGTACATATCATACATACAAACATATCTAACACACCTATAACAGTATCTTACAGAAAATGAGGCTTAACTCAGCTTTTAATTTCAGGAAGAAACATTTTTACTTCAGGAAAAAATGGATTCCTTTCAAAAAATAAATGAAGTTTCTGAGAAAACAAGTAATGAGGAATTTCTTAACAAGAAGTTGAATTTTAAGAAATGTATATATCTCGAGAATTCTGGGCTTGAGACATGACTACAAATGAGAAAATGTTATTTTGCTTGTGCATATCCCAAATGCTTCTGATATTGAAGAAGACAATGTTTTTCCTTTTAATCTGTGTATATGCACACACTTCTCCCGCAACTCAACAAGAACACATTGCTTCTTCATGACTTGTTGGGGGTTAGGATTTTTCCTTTAGTTTCTTCCTCTCATGTAATTTTGTCCCATATGTTGCTAGGAAACAATAACTACCAATACTTAAGAAAACAAAAGATGTAGCTGAGGAGGTTTGCTACCAATTAAGATAGAATTAATTGTTTGTGAAAGAATTTTAATACATTCAGTCTCTGAAATTAGGTTGTATAACTTTTGCTCAAAACAGGTGGAGAGGTTTAATTCAAAATGGAAGAAGTAAGCCAAATTTCTATAAGTCTAGTAATACCTTAACCATTTTCCTTGTCTGCTGTTCAGAAGACTAGTCTAAATCTAGATATAATGAAGTAGGATTAACTACAAAAAACATACTGGTACCTAGGATTTGTTTATAAAGAAATGTTTGTCTCATCTTGTAGGATGCTATCACAGTTATTTGGGTTAAAAGATAACTAATTTGAAAAGATAGCATTGAAGAGGGAGAGAAAAAATCTCCACAGCTATCCCTGAAGTTTTATCAGCATTCACACAAAGTGTTTGTGAGCACATATGCCAGAGACTGAGCGACACACATAAATAATCATCTTTCTGCCTCAATTCTTAGTCTGGCAGAACAAAAGAGGCTTAGGCTTCACAATAAAAGAGGCACTAGCTGTCTTTCAGCTGTTCCACAAAAATATTCACTTTTAGCATAATTAAATTATTCTCAAAGCCTCCCATACACAGGGAAAGAAAACAAAAATTCTCAGAAAAAAATCAGAATAAAAGACATCCCTCAGGAGAAGTAAAGGTAACAGAGCCATTTTGCCAAACTATAGCTTTGGATTTTGACTATACAGTCACTTAAATCGGACTTTTGAGAGCAGAGAGTAAAACTGATGGAACAAAAGGGTGATGGCACTGGAGGGATATGGGCATGCCAGAAAAAAAACTGACACAAAGTTCCACAAGTTTGGCACCAGCACCCTTAGCCATCCGTCCCAAATGCTAGCAGTTATAAAAGCCAGCAAGTCTGACCCCTCCTGAAATACCATTTTTAAGATCAATATGAACAACATTCCATCAAAAGTTATTTTATATACTCATTTAACTTGACATTTCTTCTCTACTGCTCTTATTTATGAGTGATGATATTCCCAATGAATAAGCAGGTATGTTTATTTTCAGATGTACCTGTCATGAATCCCTATCCCTTCAAGGTCAATCTTAACCTTCAAACCCTACGTCACTTCTCTCAAACTGTGAAGTTGGATGCTTTTCTTCATAAAACCCCTTTTGGGCTTTGTTGACCTTAACCACCACCTCAGTTGCACAGTCCTACCCCATCCCAAATCTCTTTCAACTCTCCTTTTTGTCCAGATCAAAATGCAATCTTGTTTACTGCCTCCATCCTCTAGAGGGTTCTACAAGTTCTAGTTGCTGGGATAAGTACAGGAAGGAATGAAGGCAAATTCCAGGAGAGGAAAAGGACAACCATGCATTTTCTACTCTTTTGTTTATTTCTCTCTTATGTACTTCTATCAAAAGGAAGAACTTGTGCTGGCAGCTGAATCAAGAACACAGTTAAGAAGACGAGGAAACCCAAAAGGTCTTTCCCATGACAGAACTCATCTATATCACCTGCAGCACCTCAACTCAAGTCTAGTACTATAATCTCTAAAAAACATCGCTAGAAGTGGCAGGACTACTAACCACATCACTAATTATCCTTTTTCTCTGCTGGAGGCAGAAGAGAATTACTCTAGGGATAAAAAGACCCAGTAAATCTAGAACCTCTTAATGATTTGGACTTCAAAATGGACCTTGTGTTGTGACAGAGAAACATCAAAACAAATTCCTTTTTCTAAATAGTAACTACATTAAAAAGCCATATTGTTGAGGTACACTGAATGTAATGGAAATGTAAAAGAAACAGAGCACCACTACCATACAGGTTTCACAGCATATGAATATGCATCTGTTCTTGCAACGGAGGAATGTTTTTTCATTCAGATGGAGGCATTAGACAAGGCAAGCCAGTATCTCAAAAGTACTATAGTATTAAATATATGGTGATGTAAGAACTACATTAAAATTCAAGTGCTCTTGGAAATTTTAAAATGGTTTTCTTAAAGTTATTTTTACACCTTTTTTGTTGTTGATCTGAACTTGACAGGTACAGAAGTAGTACTTGAGATGTTATACTTAGGGATCATGATGGCAATAAATGTGGTTTCAGAGACAAAGTGCAACAGAAGAGTTTATCAAAAAGTATACCATCTACCTTTGGATTCATTATTCCTTCTTGCTTAAAGCAGCTATAAAAGATATCCATGGAAAACACCTCGCTCCACAGGTATCCATAGTACTGACCATCGTAACCACCTGCCAAATGTCCAAAAGTAGCTGGCATGTTTGTTCCTTGAAAAGTAGATTAACATCAAGTTATTGAAATCAAATTCAGTTATTTCTTTGATGCATACAATACTTCAACATTAAATTAATAAGGAATTCACATCAACTACTTTGAAACTTTTAGCATAAAGGGTCTGAGTATGCTTCAAATTATTGAATATAGTCTGTTAAAAACAAAGGACATTCAATTTCCCATTTTAGCCTATTTGTACATCTAATACAGATGTGACAGAACATCTAAAGTGAAATTCACATCATGTCACTCTAAACTGTATCCTGCAAAAGGCTCAGTTTCATACTTACCTTCAGAATCTTCCTTCAGAAGAGATCATTAAGACCACCTGAATTTTAAAAATAATTATTGCAGCTTTATAAATTAGATTATTGCATCAACAGCCCTGTTTTTTGTATGTCAAGCATTACTGAGAAATAAAGGCATGTTAAATTGAACCATTTGGGCATACATGACATACCTGGGGTGGCAGGAATTCCTAGAATCTCCATAGAGTATTTAGCATATTCATCTGCTGGGTCAACAGACAGCTTTGTATGCAGTGCCTGGTCAACTTTGCTCAAAACAATCTGACGGAGGGTTAGAAGGCCTAATTGGGCAAAAACATTTCATTAACCAGCATCAAAATAGCTGGAGTTTCATTCGCATCTTTCCTTCAAAGATCTCAACATGCACAGTAAATTATTAGAATTTTGAAGTTACATCAAGTCCATCTGAATTACTCCACTTACAAAGAGTTGAAAAGCATAGTTTTTATAAAGGAATTATCACACTAAGTCCCCTCTTCTTGAATATTACTCATAGATCGAAACTAAAATAAAGCAGATATTTTAAAAGCAAATTTTAATTTAAGCTTTTTTGAAGAAGCTACAAGATATGAACCTTTACTCAGACAAAATGCTTATACAGCTAGAATCTGTGCAAGCTGCAAGGACAAAGACTCCTCGTTCACGAAAAGCAGTACAAAATAAACAGGAGTAGATTAAGGATGAATTGGTAGCATAAATGGGAAACTCTGATTACAAGAATAAAGAGGTGGGAGTGATAGAATAATGACATGAGATTACAGTCTTACTTTGGAGATATATGTTAGGTCTACAACAATGCTGTCTGCGACATGTTATGTCTGTTCAATAAATTTGCAAGTAACTTCCATATCTGTTAAGTGTGCATGCAAATCAAATGTAGGCAATACGTGTAGGTATATGGTGTCTTGCACAGTGCCTGTTCATGAGTACATTTAAGACTAAAAAAACCACAAAAACCACACCAGACTACAACAGACTACCATCCTCCACCTACCACCCACACCACCAATTTTAAATGAAAAAAGTTTACAGGTAAAAATTTACATGGATAGGAAAGGTAGGTGGCCTGAAAAATTAGAGCTCTACTGTTCCTGCAAAGAGTTCTATCCATCACCACAGCCTTTTTTAGTGGGGTACCCACACAAATAAATCCAGAAAGACAGTGCTAAGTGTACACACAGAAGAAATTTAATAGGCTTCTTATGTTTGTCAGTTTTTTAAATTACATACTTTTATAGGTATACTGTGGGGAGAAAAGGCAGAGAGATACCTGTATTAGCAAGTCTAGAGGCAGCAAGTTTCTCCAGGAGAGTGTCTCCAACATGGGTTGCATCTTTATAATGTCTTGACATCTGTTGTAGTGGCTCTTTTTCCCACACCCAGTTCTCAAACATTTGTGAAGGTACTTCTACAAAGTCTGTTTCCACATTAGTTCCACTAAACCTTGCAAAGTCAGTCTAGGGAAAAAAAAAGTAATTGAATTAAATTAAAACAGAAGCCAAGATTTTTAGCAGAATATAATATTTCAGATGTCAAAATTTCAGTTTAAATCACAGGAAAAGGAATAATTTGAACAGACCAATAATAGTAACACTTTTAAAATTAAATTTCTCCGCCATTTCCTTGGGCAGACCATTTCAAAGATTTACAACTCTTTCAGAGAAAAAAAATACTAATATCCAATCTAAATCTTCCCAGGTGCAACTTGAGCCATTTCCTTATCCTGTCATTGACTGCCTGGGAGAAGGAGCTGGCCCCCATCTGGCTACAAACTCTTTTCAGACAGTTGTAAAGAGCAATAAGGTCACCCTGAGCATCCTTTTCTCCAGGCTAAACTGAACTGGAGAAAAGCTCCCTCAGCTGCTTCTCACTGGACTTGTGCTCCAGGCACTTCCCCAGCTCTGTTGCCCTTTTCCAGACATGCTCCAGCAGCTCAATGTCCTTCCTGACCTGAGGGCCCAGAACTTGGCACAGGATTTGAGGTGTGGCCTCACCAGTGCCCAGCACAGGGGGACAATCCCTGCCCTGGTCCTGCTGGGCACACCATTGCTGATCCAGGCCAGGATGTCATTGGCCTTCTGGGCCACCTGGGCACACCCTGGCTCATGTCCAGCTGCTGTCACCAGCACCCCCAGGTCCTTTCCTGCCACTCTGCCCCAGCCTGTGGCACTGCCTGGGGCTGTTGTGACCCAAGGGCAGGACCCAGCACTGGGCCTTGTTGAACCTCACACCATTGGCCTCAGCCCATGATCCAGCCTGCCCAGATCCCTCTGCAGAGCCTTCCTACCATCACTCCATCCTTGTTTTGTAATAAGTCTACCTCCTCTTGCCAGCCCAATTTAAATTTTTTTCCTTCTCATCAACATACTAACAAAACATTTTAACTGCTAAAAGAAAAAGAGTTTTCTGTTGTCCTCTCTAAGAGCTGTTGATATTCTTACACCCCATCCTCTGCTGGGAAATAGATCCTTACAGAATTACAGGCTTTTGAACTTTCTTGCAGGATTACAAAAGAAAGCATGTATAATACATGACAGAACCTTGAACTGACATCTGTGTCACATGCATATGTCTTCCTCTCATGTGTTCAGAAGTACAATGCAAAAGGAGTAAAACTTTCCTCTACTCTTGTAGGCTGCTCAAATCCATAGTTGTAGACTGGCCCTTCTTACTGTCCTTGCTGAATAGCAGCTCTGAAGAAAAGCTAGGAAGCACCAGCTTCAGGGAAGAAATGGTGATAAAAGTGGCTAGAGCAAAAAGCAAATGGCCTTCAGATATCTTCCTTTATCCATACCCAAGGGCACTACACTAACAAAAAACATCAGATATTTGGTACAAGTTACTTCAAGAGCGCTCCCTGAACACCACCAACAAATTCCCGCCCTGCCCTGATCTCACTCTCCAATACTATATCTCACTTTTCCAGTATATTACATAATCAGACCTTTACCAGCAGCTCACAAATTCCTCCCAGCCTCATCCTTGCATAGCATTTAACTGCAAAGCCTTAACATGCCTAAACAGATCATCATATGAAATAAGACAGTGCTTCGTACACATGAATTCTATGGAATATATGGATGCTGTTACGTGGGACTAGCAAGTTTGCATGCAAATAGCTACTTACAAATAGCTACAATACAGGAGAAGTGAGCATAGTAGCTTGGCACACAGGAAACATCAGAGCAGTACAAGAGACAACTGGAAAACAGGCAATTCCAGAGCAAATGAAGTACATAGGCATTGGAATTGTTGACTTCAGCTGCCCTGAAAGGACTCCAAAACACTGAGGCACACCCTCACTGGCTGCCAAAATGTTGCAGTCAGTTTTGTACCATTTTACACCAATGCCAAATGTGTTACACTTATAAACACTTTCTATATTGCCTAGGTTTTATACCTCAGTTTTTGATACCAGAAACACATATCACAGGGTGAAGATGATAAAATAATAATTAAATTTTAACCTTTAAGATGATTCAAAAATATCTAAGCTATTATTAACTCTGGATTTGATATATAAGTCTTTGTGATGATGTTGTTTCTTTATTCTGCCGTCCCAGTCTCTAGGATCATGGTCAAGAATTAAAACCTCATGTAGGTAATTTTTCCTTGATGTTATTATTTTGTATTTGTTTATACTTAAGATGAAGGAAGTGCTACACAAAATCTGGATTTGTAATTAACGATGTGAATTTTTTGGTGTGTGAATACTCACACTCATCTCTTTCTGAAATATAAAATTTTCATTGGGCTAATAATAAATTTATCATCTGGCATTATCAATTTTACATGTAAGTAAAAATGAAAACAGAAATTTTACAACTTTATTAGTACCTTGATGGAAAACCTGAAACTACCTTCAGTTCTTTCTGGTCACTGCAATAAACCTAACCTGTCAGATATGAAAAAATATTATAGCTTAGGCAAGATCTGTTTTATGCTTGTGATGTCAAGAGTGATAGGTCTCAACAGCACTAAATGCCAAAATGCTTCAGATCATCTAGCTTCAGAAATTATTTTCATTCGTAGGAATAGCAGCATTATTTTATTTTTAATACCTGGTTTCTAATACCATACCTCTACAAAACTAGAAGTAATAAACAGCTGTCTGAAGAAAGCCATGACTGAGCATCTTCTTCACTTTACTTGTACCTGGGATGAGTGAATAGACGCAAGATGCAAATGCAAACGTACATGTTCCTACAAAAATGTTTTTCATAAAATGGTGTATCTATTGCTTCAGTCTTAAATAAATAGTAAAACTAAAACCAACCTAACGCTTCAAAAAAAAAAAAACAGAACTCTGCATATGTGCTTTACAAAAATTGGAAACCAACAAAACAGAACTATACCTAGCTTTGAGACAGTGGAGAAAGAAATAAGTCTTACACTGGAGTAGAAACATCACTAACCTGTGCACATATCTGATGCATTACATGACCAAATTCATGGAAATAAGTCTTTACTTCATCATGTCGCAGCAATGATGGACGATCCGATGCTGGCTTTGTGAAATTGGTTACCAGAGCAGCTACAGACATCAATCTGCTGCCATCAGAGAGAAGACAGCCGGGTTGTAGACCAAAGCAGGCTGCATGCCCATACTTTCCCTCTCTGTGTAAGAAAATACATCAGATACTATCTTCAAACCACAAGCCTGCTCACCAGAATGGTGAAGCCTATTCAAGAACAGGGACAATCAGTGTCTGTACACAAGGTTTTACACAAAAAATGTACATCTTTCCATGACTTCTAAGACTCAGTAAGTCTTAAGTCTAAGCACAAGGGGGAAAAAAAGCCCCTTCTACTCTCATACTGAAATCACAACATTTCAAGATTCCCAGCAGCACTTAAAAGAATCTGGTTTTCACTGAGAAGCTGAATGTATATATACTTCAGAAGCCAACTGTGTTTTAAACTGCTACTGCAACAGGATGAAATAGGTTCTGTTCACTGATGCAATTTTTTTTTTATTACAGGAGACAAAAGAATACAGTAAACTGCATTTTCACTGTGATGTAGGAGTTTAAAGAAAAATTACTTTGAAAATTTTGCCCTAAACTCTTCAGTTAAATACTCAGATTAAGTCAGAGGAGTTCTTACTGACACACACCCTCAGTGCATGATATACATAATATATATACATATATATATTATATATGCATGAGATACATAAAGGTGGAAGCAGGTAAACAGGTGAAAGAGATAGCTATGTTACCATAAAAATAAACATTTATGTACTACTATATATATTGAGTACCCTAATTTTCTTAGGCCAGAAAACCTTAAATCAGCTTATATTAAAAAAGAATGTCAGAAAATTTATAAAATGATAAATACTAATCTAAAAAAATCCTATACCAAAGCAAACAAAAAAACAGAGACAAATAGTCAAAGAAGACTAGCCCAGAATAAATCCTGTCAAACCAGTCTAGTCTCCTAATCTTTGACAAAACACAGATGATACTGTAAATAGCTACAAAGACAGCTGGAGAGCTACAGAGATCAACATGGAAGTAAATATTAATGTGTGCTCAACATGAATCTATTCTTGATATTGATCTATTTGATTAATCAATCTGGACAACAGGGTAGAAAATACACTAAGTGTAAAGAGGAGCTGGGAGGAACTAGGAACTCTTAGCAGACAGAATATAACTGATCTGGGCAGGCTGCACTAATACTTCAACAGAAATAAAAACTAAAACTCAGTAGTAAGCTAGGAAGGAGAAAAGCTCACAGATTAAAAAAATTATGGACAACTGACTAGAGGGGAGTACTACCAAAAATATGAAGTAGCCACACTTCATAAAAGTGAATATAAGCAAGAAATATGGAAGTACTTAAAAAGTGTAAAAAACCTGAATACAGTCAAGAGGACAACTTAATGAACACAGTATTAATCTTGTCAGTGGAACATATATTTACTTCCAAATGCATTTCATTTTAATTAAACAAGCAGCAACCCATTAAGACAAATTCTATTTTAAACATGTAAGCAAAAGAGTAAGTCATTACCTGGGGTAAAGATCCAAATAGAACTGACCTAGCATTTCTCCTGTTGATTTATCCTTTACTGTATAAAGAGTAACACTGTCGTGCCAAACATGAGCACTTTCTATTTGCTCAAATTCAAGTCCCAACAGTGTCTGGTAAATATTCAGTAAGCCTTCTGTAACAGCCTCAATTGGGAAGTACTCCTTCAGTTTTTCTTGATCTATGGAATACTTCAGCTCTTCAGTTTTGCTCATATAATAATGAAGATCCCATGCATTGATTCTTCCATCATAGTCAAAGTTTCTTTCTTTGCATTCCTTCTTCTTCAGATCTAGAATGAACTGTCTTTCTTCTTCAACCAAAGGCTTTAGCTTTTTACTCAAATCATCTGAAAGAAAGATTGGCTTGGAGTCAACTTCCATGTTCCTTATCTATTTCTAGAAAATAGATATAAAAATAAGAATTCTATAAAATGGGTGTTTCCCATTCATTCACCAACAACAAGCAACATCTGTTTTCTTAGGTCCCAAGAAGTCTTAATTGCAGGCATGCTATAAATGATACAGTAGATTCCATGTAGGCCAAAGAGTGGTGTGAAGGGTTTAGGTAAATTTAGATTTTTCCAAGCTATCATAAACGTAAAGTAACACTAGATACTTATGCTTGAATCCTTTGATTTTATGTCATATAATGTCAGTATTCCTCATACATTTCTTAGCAACAGCCAAAGACTACAACTATTGTTAGTTACTGGAAGGAAGTGCAACACAAAATTCAATACTTCTTGTTAAAGTCCTATAAAAAATCCAAGAGATCCAAGAATTCTTGACTATAGGATGGCTGGTTTCTACACTAGCAAAGCCTCTGGATATTCAAGTCTATGATTCAAATTATTTCCAATATACTTTCCTTGGAAGCAGACATATTGAATATAAAATATTTAAGCTTGCTGACACTTCCATACAGTACATTCTGTACTTATTCTCTTGTAAGTATTTCTGGTTTATCAAAAACTTTTTTCATTAAGAATTCACAGTAATGTTCATTGTTGATATGTACAGTGTAAAATTTGGGAATTACTACTCGTGTTTCTAGGAAGGCTGTAACACACTAAATGCATTTGCATGCTTGAAATACTGTTTGCAGCTTGTACTGTGCTAAATTCAGAATATGTCATAGGAGAGAATGCTCTTCCTCCCAGAAGTAAGATCAGCTTATGAATATTTGATTTAAAACATGATTATATAGGAACAAAATAGATGAAAACACATTGTCAGGCCTGTAGCTGAAGATACATCAAAAGAACTAAATAAAAAGTGGCAATTAATTTGATGCATATTCTCCCTCTGTGAGAATTATCATGAAGCATATATGCTAACTTATGTGTGTCAGCTTCAAAATTACAATAATATAACAAAGAAAGTCTAAAATACTTCAAGTACACTTAAAAACCCTAACATTTAATAATAAATTAAGCCTAAGTATTTGTTAATTGTCAAGTATACTGAAAATTGGTATTGCCAAATATGGATCTGATCCCATGAAGGAACATTTCAGGAGAAATGCAACAGAATTACAGGTTTAGAAAGAGGAGCACTTGAACATCTTTATTGAAGCACAAACAAAAACACCCCACCACCAGCAAATATACCTTATTTTTGTACTGATTTATTTGTGGGGGCTTACTTATATAATACATCCATATACACTCCTAATTGGTGTTAGGACACAGTAATAAAGGAACACATACTATTCAGTGGAGCTATCAGGAAGCAGAGATTAACTCTACATCCAAGAGTTCACTGATATCAACAGGGTGACTTCAAACTCATTCATAAACTGCTATGTTTAAAATGTTCAAGATATCTCTGTTTTCAGATCAAATTCCATTACAGGGATTTTAAATTCCAGACTTAATCCAGCACTCCAGATATAATTTTTTAATTCAGCTCATGGAAGTTGCATCATCTCATACAGTAAGGTTTTGTCATACTTAATGTAGCTGTACCAGAAAAAGACACCAAAACTACAGATTAAAAAAAAATGGGGAACAAAAAGCTGCAATTCTGATGCAGCCTCTTGAACTGATAAACTTGCTTAAGATGCACAGGTTACTCTGGTTCTAAATTAGGGTAACTGCATTTTGGGGCAGAGAAAGGTTTTATCACTTGCTTATACTGACTGTCACACAACAGTTATTCTCAGAATTTGCCTTGTGCTTCCTGATTTGGAACAACTTCATTTGTATAGCTATGATCTAAAATATATATATGCCAGAACAGAGGCAACAGAGTTCCTTTTCTGACTAAATGTCATGGGTGCTGTGACCCAGTTATGTATTTAAATTCATCTTGGCTAAGGGAACACATTACTACATTAAATATACAAGTATTGCTTATAAATGTGAACAAACCTAAGAAGGTTGTTACGTTATCTGTGCTCTTGGCAGTGTTTACCTCCAGGACAAAGTTGGCATGTGTGTTATAACCAAGAAGCTCTGCTACTTTTGCCCTTAGTGGGAGCAACTGCTGCAGAATTTTTGTGTTTTCCTAAAAGAGAAAGTAGGCAAATTTGTAAAATGAAACCAGAAAACACATGTTAACAAAACAATTATCTCAATAATATCTGTAATCCTATGTAATAGAAAATATTTCAAATAAACACTTTCAGATTAAAATATTATATAACCTAAATTTAGCTAGATTCTTGGAATGCTTCTTCTCAGTGTCTGCAGGTAGCTGGTTTTCTAGTCGACCTCATTCATTATACTCCTCATTGTAACAACTTATCTTTTTTAGTAAATCAAAATATACACCATTTTCTTTCAGGTTGTGAAGAGCTGAATTCCTTTATCAATCATTTACATGTGAAAAGACAATAAGGAAATTTCTGGCAGCAAGCTTAATTGCTTGCTAGTGATGAAGACAGATTGCTAATTATCGTGCCAACATTCAAAGGTGGTTTGCAAATTTTCCTCTTTTGCCACTCTAACAATAGCAGTCAGGGAAAGATCTGAAACAGACACCCCCAGAATCTGACCTAAATGTGTTGAAGAATCCTCAAGAACCTGAAAACATAACTGAGTAAACCTCTAGTTTTGGAAAAGTGTGATTTGTCAGAGTTAAAAAAAACCCCCACTAGATTCAAAGACTGTCACGCAGTTTTATCATTAAATCTCTTTATATGTGTTGACTTGCAGAGTGTTCAGTTCCTGATGCCATTTTATCTTATCGTGTTTTCATCACACTTCCAAGCATTTCAAGCACAAAATATCAACTCTGCTATTGCTCTCTAATGCATGGTTGGTACAATTGTCTGCATGACATATCCTCTATTTTGCAATTTTTTTTTTATTTTGTACCTGTCTAGTTCTGCACATATGCAATCTGTTGGATTTAACATTTAATCATCTGTGTTTATAATTAAAACCTGTACTTAAATAACCACTCTCTATTCTGAAGAATCCCAAAGGACAACAGAAGCCACAATCAGACATTCTTTTCTGTGAGGAAAATGTCTGTAAGCATCTGCAGAACATTGTAGGGAAATTTCACAGAACATCAAAACCCCATGTCTATTAACAGAACCACTTGAACATTAAGATACATACAAATATGCACACAGAGGCAGATTGTCAACTTCTAAGGTCTCAGAAGTATAGCAGAATAAATTGGGGGAAGGCATTGTTAAAGATCACGCGGATAAGTTTTGATTTCAAATTACTCTATAATGCGCAAAGCTCAAACCTAACATTTGAATGTCTAGCTCCTATTTCAACTCTGCCACTGCACTGTAGAACAGCCAGTACACAACATACCTCTTTGCATCTAGAGTTAAAGGCAGATTCCATTTTTCTCCTGGTTTCTGAAATGCAGCACTTCTTCATTACAGGAAAATAGTGGGGATACTTTAAGGTAATTTTATATTTGTCTTTCTCAGTCTTCTCTAAACTGTTAATAAAGTCGTCAGGAAGGCCATCTATAGAACACAATTTAATAAACAATTTTTACCAAAATTATCTACTGCCCCCTGTTTATGTCAGACTGTTGCACTTGTTTTGCTTCAATCTACTTTGACCTCAGAAATCGTCACAGAAATATACCCCTCTTTTTACAATTTCCTAAAACTTTTTAAAATTCCACCAAACAAAGCAAAAGTTGGAAACACCTGAGAGCATAAGAGAAATACACATAAGGCCACCAGATAAAAACTGAATAAGAGAAAAAAAATCTCTGTTATTAGAGCACATTTTATTTGATGCCTTTGAGATAATGAATCCCCAAATTCTCTGTCACATAAAATCTCTAGCTTGGTTTAAATTACTGAATTAGTTAAACTTTATTGTAGGACTAAAAAAGCTTCTCCAATAATTACACAGGTGATTGCTTGATGATAATTGAGAAAAGGAACAGAGTAAAGCTTTGCTAAAGGAAGTAGGACCAACATTCTAACTTGATGCAAGGCAAAAACCTCAGGAATAACAAATGTATGAAGACATCATGAACACCTGCAAAAGATAACTCTGAATTTATTCTGGAGAAGGACTAAAAAGGAAACAGAAAAGACTGGGAAAAAACAGTCAGAATTTCACTTGATCTAACCATCATTCATGGGGCAAAAATCAGTTACTCCAATAAAACTGGAAGGTTGAAAAACCAGAAATAAGCAAGCATCGTACTCACCAAGTTCCTCCTTAGAAAATACAAGAAATGTATTTTCCTCATTCAGATTTTTGTTAAAGTCTATACACAGCTCACTCAATTTTTTCTTCATTGTCTTTATTTCCTGTATTGGGTATAAACTGAACTTAGTGGAAAAACAAAGATCAAAGTTGGTAATTTTTATCCACCACATGAATAACATTTCATTTTTTTCAGCTAGGCTCTCTACTAACCAACAGTAAATACCAGGACCAGCAAATAACACATTACAGGTGACATCACACTTCACACCCCATCAGTCTTCCTTTTATGTTTCTTTCAATCCTGAGCAAAATTGTGAACAAGGGCTATCGCTCAAACATTTTAAACTCAGCTTAGAGAGGACTGAAGAGATTTAACAGATTCATTAAACAGTTTCATGTGCTAACATTAAAATATTTTCTTTTATTTGAACAGCTAAACTACAATTTTATGTGTAAAAATATCCACTGAGGTCAATGATAATGAAGGGAGTAAAAAAGCATGCAACTCACTCAAAACCACTGTTTTGGATTTGTACATACATGGTACAACAGATAGAAGAGGCTGTTCTCACAAGACAAGCTGTTCCAAAACCTATTGTGAAATCCTGATAGTCATAGTTCTTAAATCATAGCAAGTTTCTACATGCTATTGCCAAGTTCAAATAAACATAATAGTTACCAGTAAGAAAACACACATCAAATAAAAAATGAAATGTAATTAAACTGTTGTTCCCAAAGGAATTTCAAAATACCTTTAGAGGCATCAGTTATATGAAAATACACATTAAACTGTTTTCACTAGTAGAAGGATGTGGATGATGATTGGTTATTTTCTACAAAGGGTTAAGTCTATTCAACAGTCAGAAATAAAGGTCATAATATAGCCAGAAATATTACTCAGAATTTGAAGATAACTATGTTGGCATCTGTAGAATCCCACAAGATAAGAGCTAGTGTGTATGTCTCCAACACCAGTAGCAGGGTGGCTGTGGCACCAAGGACTTTAGGTAACAGCAGCCAAGGACTGTTGGCAATAACATGCTGTGAGAAAGAACAAGATGTGACTGGACAAGGGGCCATACAGAGGTAGGACAGCACTTTTCTGGGACAAAGGTCTTTGATCTGCCTCCTGGAAATAAGCACAGCTCAGTACAGCACAAACAGAAAAATGAGGTGGAGAAGCAGGCACAGACTGTATGGGGGGAACAAGACCACCAAAGACCCCCAAAGCCCTCTGACCCATTTCCAGAGCAGTGTAAAGAACAGACTGTGCATGGCAACTAATTTACATAGAAAATGCAAAACTTTTCTCCAGGGCAAGGAAAGCTTATCTATAAAACAGTACCTCCATATCCAGGCCCAGATAGTGCCCCCAGGACTCTGGACACCTAGGCAGCTTGATTGATGCCAGAGGCATGAATGGTGATCTCTCTTTCTCCCTTTCTTCTTTCTCTCTTCCCCTCTTCAATTAATTTATCTCTGTCTTTTCCTTTTCACTCTATCCCTTTTATCCAAAACCACTCCCATGTGCTTATATTAGGTCAAGGACTAACATACCAATTTCCATACCAAGTATATAATTTGCTAATAAAAGTTCCTAAGTTTTTGCTGACCCTCTGATTTTGTCGTTCCTTTCAACCACAAGCACCTGTATGAATCTTGGGCGCTGCCTTCCCATTAAAGGTGGGATGCCACAGCACCACAGATACTGACAATTTTACTTCCTGATTGTCTGGAAATTGCTTTTTAAGACAGTTCTCCTGTAATGAAGAAAAATTCAGAGCAGGTTGTTTTCTCCTCTAAGCTACTTTGATTATTTTCAGGTGAAATGCTAAAATCTTAGACACATTTTACAACATCAGTTAACTGAAACTAGCAAAGCTGTGTGTTTGCAACAGTTATACATAATTTTGAATAGAACTGCAGACTCACTAGCAACATTTTTTGAGACGTCTCTTCCCTAGGAATCTAATTTAGGCACTCTCTACAATCGTAATATATAATACAACTTTTTCAGCTAGGCTTCTTTTAGTCTCAAGGCTACGAGGTGATGCAGATCACTTCTATCTACTGTGTATTGTGGATGTCTATCAGATTAGTTTAAAAACCTTCAAGTGATTGAAGTTTAAAGGATGGATCTGGAAGTAAGAACAGGTAAGATAAGAGCAGTAATTCAGCAGATCCAAAAGCATGAAGTTCAAATATATGCTTAGTACAGCTAACTAACCATAAATTTATCCCTTCAACAGTTTGTAACCTTTACTTTATAAAAAAATTGTCCATATTTACTTTCTGTACTTCTTTAGGAAGATGGAGTCCGTTTCTTCTCCCCACTTGAACAGATTTCTCTAGATACCGCTTTGTTTCAGGCTTTACATTTTCAAGATCACAGGTCTGCTGAAATGACAGTGTAGAATAATTGAACTTATGATACATTTTAAGAACCATACCAAGCATTAAAAGGGTTTCAACAGAGTTGTTCTTGAGAACACTGTCATATTAAAAAAGTGAACATCCTGGATTTTAATGTGAAGAACTCCCTCCAAACAGTTTCCTTACACAACAGTATTCTTATATTCATGTAGAATGTTTTTTAAATAATATTATTTTACCAAGTGTCTCAGCACATTTACATGCTGTCATAATGGCAAGCCTTTTCTTAAGTGCACTTAAGCTTCTTCTGCAGAGATAGCTTTTACATGGTTGAAGAAAATCAGTGCTATAATACTGTACCCTAAAAGTCCGAGGGATTGAAGAAAAACCCCGAAAGATTAGAAGTGTCACTTTAGAATATCAGCTGGCATAAAATTTGAGCATATTTGTCTTCTCCAGAACCAAGCTATCAGTGACAAAAATAAAAAAGTATCACAGAAAATTCTGAGTTGGAAGGAACCCACAAGGACCATCATCATCCTGAATATACTACATACACAAAATTTTGGAACTCTCCAGAACTTTTAGAATTGTCATGGCTGATGATTTTAAATACCATTTTGTACTTGTTTTGAAGAACCTTGCTAATTTATTCCAAGAAAAATCCTTCAGACAGAGTAAGAAACAAAGCCTACTTAGAATACCACGAACAAAACCTGAAGCAGCTCTTTACATCAGGCTCTCCTGAGGGCATGTGGGTGGAGAAGACTGGCAACATTCTTAAGCATGCCTCTACTAGTCAGCATGTGCACATGTTAGGAGTTACAAAATTTAAAATTAGAGTTTCATTACCAAATTCACCTTCATTCCAAGTTTCAACCCGCAAAATACAAGTTTTTCAAAAAACAAGATATGGACCATATTAAACAACATAATTTTATGCAGAAATTCCTCCCCCCGCCTTAATGCGTGGGGGAAAGAAAGTCACTACATTATTTTATTATTTTCTTGAATTAAATGTAAAAACCTCAATAATTTTCCTCCATCAACAGCTCTTAAATTAATCATAATTAGCATAATTTAGAATGAGTACTATTGTTAACTTAGAAAAGTTTAGTCCCCATTAAGGGGAGCTAAATCATTCTGCATGTCACTGAGGTCAGGCAGATTTACTCATCTCTTAGTATGATGCTTTATAAATAACATGACAGTATGAGAACCCTCATTCTACTCACCCCAATTTAATCTGGCCCCCTGAAGGACCATGAAAATGAATTAATTTACCTGAACTATTAAATTGCCAGTGAGGCCATGAAAAACCTGATTTAATCTAACTGTTTGCTGCTTTTTTGAATTGGCAAAATAATTTCAGCTGAAATCTGAATTCTGTTTGTGGAAGTTCTTTTTTCATGTGTTCCTGGAGCCTGACTTTTAAAGTGAGAGTTTCTAACAGGAGGAAGTGTTAGAAATTTAGCAAAAATTACCAAGAACTTTATTATTTGGAAATAGGAATATTTGACCATCTGGCACTACTGGAAATTTCGTGTTTGTTTGAGAGCAAAACTCTTACTACTTTAACAGTTATTACGTGTGGATATATACTCAGAAGTTGCATCTCTGGCAAACTAATATTAAAACATGCTTGCACGCTGCAGTTAACAAAAATTTATAAAAAACTTAAATGGAGACTTAAGCAAAAATTCTAACTGTTATGAAGGTCAAAGACTGCTGCAAGGGAAAAAAAATTTAAGCGAGTAATAGTAGTGAATAACGGCAATCAGTTTTCACTACCTACTGTCAGATATTCCTGTAAATAAAAAACAGATAGATACACATTGTCCTCAATGTATCTGTGCATTCTATAGTGGAGGGTAGGGAAAATCACAGTAGATAATACATACAAATTAGGTCATTTAATTACTAGCAACAGAGCAGGGGAAGAAATAAAAAATCAACATAAAATACAGAAGGGAAAAAAATCAACACAAGGCATTATCTGCCAACACACAACAGAACATACTCAGAATGGGGTTATTAAATACTTCCACAAATATGTAACAAGAATACAAAGCTAGAGGAGAACACTTGAAAATTTCCCTGGAAAACAAAGCAAAAGACAACGGTAATGGAAGGCAATTTAGTATGGTTCTAATTCCCAGTCAAGTCTGCAAAAACCACAAATGATGACTCAAAAAAATAGGGCTCCAGTATCTTATGAGCATTACAAGAATATTAAAAATCAGTGGAGTTGAGAGGAAAAATTTATATATAAAACATAGAAAACCATATTTTTTTGTTATCACACTAGATAACTTTCTTGCATTATCCGTATATTGCACTTTTAAGAAAATTATTACTAAACGTCATCAGACATATTGGAACAAAATCAAATATTCTTTCTGATATAACCAAATAATATAACCAAATGTTCTTTCTGTGAGCTACAAAATAAATAGCACAAGTGAAGAATGAGATACCTATAGGTACTCAATTAAAAGTGATGCTAAACAGAAACATAAAAAAGATTGAAACTGGTTCAACACTAAACACATCTTTTAACACAGTTTTATTTTGAGGCTGATGAAATAGATGAAGAAGACAATACAATGTAATTGTCTATAGCTGAAGTAATTTCAGAGGTCAATCCCATTTATATGTTCTCATTAACCTACATAACTTAATACAACTTTTAAATTTAAAATTCTCAACTTTTTCAATAAAGCAGAATTGGATACAAATTCAAAAGCAGTATAAGATAATGTAAATGATGTATTGCCTCTTTTCTTCCCTCTTGGAACAAGCTCAGTGAGTAGAAAACAAAAAAAAATTTCCTACTATGTTTCCTTCTTTTAGGTTAGATTCTGTGTATCAGTTCTTTGGAAGACTGACAAAAGTCAAAGCTACTGCAATGGAGAGAGAAGGATATATAGATCTAGATATGAGAGGCAAAGAGTAGGAACAGCACAATACACCGTTTTCTGATGTATAGCAGTGTCCCACTGGAAAGATTAGAGTGGTACAGACACAGAGGAAACAAAGTTATTTTGAAAAGCATTGTGTACACCAAATAATTTTAGATAGATACATGTCACTTATGCAGACACACTATTATTTACCTGTAAATAAACAATCTTCTGAAACACGTCTTCTCTCATGCTCATCTCCACATCAAAATTTGACAGTTTTTTGTCAGCTTCTGTACTTGCTAAGCGTATCTCCTTGTCAGGGGAGACGTGCTGGGGGAAATCCAACATGCTTCTTTCCACTGTTTAAATAAGAGGCAATGAACACAGAAGCATAGACATGCTTTAAGGATAGGGAGTTTTCCCTCTTCTGTCATTTATAACAGACATAAGAAAAAATGTCTGTTAGAGCAGACATTGACACATATAGCAAATAAAGTGATTACATGTACTATAAAGTTGAATAGGTGAAAGGACAAAACCATACAACATTGTAACAAATAAATATTTTACAGAAGATTTCTAACCCCAAGCCTAATTATCTCATAATCTTATACAAAATCAGCTGAATGGTACATAAATACATTAAGAATGCTTCATCTTCCAAAAGTCATGTAAGTGAAGACTGACGTTTCATAGCTGGCACAGATGCATCCATGTTAGCATTTCAAGTGAGAAGCTCTGAATCTTTCAAACATGCCCATCTGTCCTGAAGTTATTTTTACATTGTTATGAGCACAGTGTCAAATCCCCACGTACCGCACTCTTCTGTATTTAAGGAGAAACAACATGGCAAACATGGAAGATGCTGTCTGTGCATTCTGAACTTCTAGAGACTGGAAGCTGAGTAATACTACTTTTTTAGAATATACTTTTGAGACTAAGTAAATCTTTGCTATTAAAGGGATATTACATCTTATAATGGCATTGAATAGAAATCCTAAAATATAAATGAATTTGCTTAATTAAAAATCAAATTACAATGTCTCTACCACCTACCTTTCCAAAAGTGTATTTTAGAGTATCAACATACTAGGCTGATTTAAAGCTTTGTAATTTTATGTGACGTGCAGTCATTTTATCAAGCTCTGAGACATTCAGAAATGCAACCATGGGCATGTGATTATTCTTGAAGTCCATTGGAAACTTGCTCCTTCACCTCCTGCCCTTATGCAAAGATATTTCAAAATTATAAACTGAGTTTTGGCAACTTCCAAGTGTAATTTAAGGTCTATTGTCATCTCTGTCTCTTTGGATAATGAGTTGTAGTTACTGGGGTAGGTCTTTATGTGAAAGGGACACACAGGCCTTAAATTCCAAGCTTCTTATGGAAGTCTTGCTCTGGTAATAAATCCCTCTCATAAGCCATGGGCTGTTTCATAGCAGGTCATGATAATTTCACATACAGCTTTGAAGATTAGCTGTAGATTAATTTGAAGATTAAATGTGACCCACTACTGCAATAGTACATAGTGAAAAATGTACATCTTCTGTCAAGTCTTGGCTGTGCTGAAAAGCTGATCACCAATGTTTTCTGAGTCAAACACTGATTTTCCTTCTGTAAATCTTTGTGGAGAAAAGATTTACAATAATTATACCAAATTGGTATATTGGTACAACCAAAACTGAAACTGGCAGCAGGCTTTTTGAATTAAGATTACTGTATTTCTGAGTATTCCAGAATAAATTCCAGCCAATTCACTGGATGCGCAATTTAAAGTAATGTGAAATCCAGAGTAATATTACAGTATAATCATTTAAGATGCAGCTGTACTTTTTTGCTAGTCAAAGATTTTGCTCCAAGCCAAGGTGGCTGTTTCTAGCACCTCTGTGACTACTGTAGATTTTCTCAGAGTATTTAAAAGAATTTGACATCTATTACACTTACTGTTTTATAAATAATGCAGTCACCATCTGAAAGGTTTTTCTCAACAAAGACACCCAATACGCAGTCTGTATTTTACCTATCTCTTCTGGCAAATATTAACGAATTAACTGAATTACTTGTGTTTGACCATTAAACCCCACCTACATATTGGTATGGTTCGATAATTCATTCAGAACAATTTAGATGTGACTGCATGACCAATCTTTCCCTGGATTCTTCAAGACATCACAGGCCACAATTTAAATGTGAACCAGTAAAGAAGTCTTCTTCCAATAGCACATTCAAAGTTTCCTCATCATCACATTTTCTCCCCTAGCAGTTTATCAACGTTTCCATTACTCCGTTCAACTTGCTTGTGTCAGATTCCACAGTGGCTGAAAAAACACTGTTTACCACGTGTAATGCACTATGCATACCACAGACGCTGCAGCCTACTCTGCTGCAGTGCCCCTGGCAGCTGCACACGGTTGGAAATGTAACGGTGTGGAGCTTCACATGCAAAACCAGAACAGGTGACTAATGCAGGCCTCTGGGAGGTCCTGAAAGATTATGGACTCTTGAGAGACCTCTACACATTCCACACAAGAGCAGGGATCAAAATTGGAAGCAACATATTTCCTTACGTGCAGATGGAATGCCTTATGCAAAGAAATACAGAAAACACACACTAACCTGCATATTCCACTTCTATAGCTGCCAAAGCCCGTATGGTATTTTCATGTGTTACTTCTCCAATTTCAAGCATCCCGATGCTGTCATATACATGTTTTGTCCTCCTGATAAGTTCTTCTGTTCTTGTTCTAATTTCCTCCGGTGACAGGTCCCATCTCAAAAGGTTTTGTCCTGATGCTATGTATGAAGAAGCCTTGGGCTGGCTAGTAATTTCTGCTCCTAATGTCATTCTCAACACAAGCCGAGGCCCAATGGACCTGAAAGTATGAAAATTATCTTTAAATAGCAAGATTCCAATTCAAGAGACAGTTTATAGTAAACATTAAAGAAACAGCATCAGAATATTTTTAGAAGCAGGAACAAAGTCCTTTTTAGAGCTGTTATCTTTATCAATTAAGTCTAATTTTAAAATAAATCTGTCTTCTACCTTTTTCATTTAGAGTAGGACTAAGTGCAAACAGGGACAAAAAATTTGGAATTGACAAAACCATGCAGATTAAATTATGACTCAACTGTCTAAGGAAAACAGCACTGCAGTTACTGGAACTCTACAGAAATAGAGTACTAACATTTTTGAAGTAAGGAATAAAACCCACATAGTAATTTGTAGATGACAAAGAACAAGAATTGCAAAGTTGCACAAAATAAGACATAAACATCCCTTGATTGTATTCATAATAGCAAATAATTTTATATTTATACAGGATGTCTGCCACATAATCAGTATGGGAGGAAACCTTCTAGTTGTTGCTCATTTGCAAATTTATTCCTTCAGTTGTGCTGGATTTTAAATAAGCAGTTTCACTCTTTTACCAGAAGAGGTACATTCCTTTACTATGATTTATGTATTAATAATCTATCAACTGTAGTTCTAATCAACTATATTTCAACTTCTTTAAAATTAAGCTTGCATTCAAGTAGTCAAACTTGCTGCAGTGTTTACTATCATAGGAGGATCCCTGGCTGTCAGAGACTTACTATCTGTTATCCCATTTCAGACATATAATTTAAAAAAAATAAAAATCATATGTTATTCTGGTAATAATGACAACTTAAAATTTTCAACAATAACTAAAGAAATACAGAGATCTTGCTAATATAGGGATGTTTACTTCACACTGCTTTATATAAAGTAACCTTTTCTTTTAACACTAGCCATTGTACCTGAATTGATTTTACTGTAAAACCTGTCTGGTATGTACAAAAATGCACAGAGAGGTTTGGGCGTACAATGCTGGGAGCATGCAAAAATGACAGTCAATTTTAGCCTGAAGAAATAACCAAGAAGAAGAGCGAAATGCCAACAAATTGAGAAGGGCTGCACACATGTCTTCTTTTTGAAGAAAGGTAAAACTTTTTTTAAAAAGTCTTCCAATTCTATAATAGAATTTCTCCAGAAATAGCCTATACAAAATTATTTGATGCAAGACAAAAACAAAAGACAACATTTCTATTGATGAAACTTTATTTTCCTTATTACTATAGATTCTTCAGATCTTTCAATTCCAATGTAGGTAAGTTGTTTACTTTTCCCTTTAGTGGCATACAGAAACATCTGTGTCCAGAATAATGACCATTTCACTTTGAAAATGAAGCGTAAATAGAGAACATTTGTTCCACCTCTGTTCTTCTCTGACACCAGTTGAATTCTAGTGCTAGGGCTTTAGTCACTTCTCCACTAGACTACTGAAACTTTGAATTTTCAGACAGAAGTTTAGGATGAATGAAGCTGCTGTCATAAAAGCAAAAGCTTAAGTAATAACATTCTCAGAATGCGTTAGTTTCCCATCCCCAAAATCTACTGAACTCTACCCTGAATCTACAAACTCATTAAACAACAGTATTTCATTAAGTTACAAACAGATTCTCAGTGGACTGCCCTGTATCTAGTTTTTCACACATTGCTAGCACAGGTCTGGTAAAATCTCTTGGGAGGTAAAGAGAAGCTCCTCAGAAATAGGTTCATGGCGCTGAACTCTACACCACACCACCCACACCCAAGAAGATGAGAAAGGCTAAAGAGTGTTTCAAACTGAAGTCAAAATAAATGTAAATTGGAGTAAAAGGAAAACAACAGCCGGAGCAACAAAAGGTATGCTAAAGTGAAGGCTACTGAGCAGATATTCTTTTTAAAGAGAACCTATTGCCTTTAGTCATTCAGTATCCTCACCTAGAAATTTAGACAATACAGCCCTGCTTCTGACCAACTGCATACCATCTGAAACAAACACTAAAACAGTCACAGCAACAACATATTACATCAATTTCAGCCTGTGCAACAAGATTTATTTATAATTAAAGTCGGACAGAGTTCATGAACTGGAATGTAGGGTCTCAGATTACCAGAGAATACTATTTTTAAATACTAAAAAAAGATGCCACCTGATTTTCTTAGTATATTGGCTAGTTCAATTAAGACATATACCTGTAAATTTGAGAGCTGCATAAATTATTGCCACAAATATCAGCAACTTGTTGACTACCTATTAGAAACAGGAAAACACAGAATTGTGCAGTTTTGAAATGCTGATACTTTGTTTGCTTCTGTTGCTAGGCAGATTCAGTCATTTATGTAGATCAAAAAAGGCAGTACAAACCAGGTTTTTCTAGTTGACCAAATGACAAGGTGGGCCTTCAAAAACTGTTATATAACATTTCACGTAAAATCAGTTGCTACACATAATTCTTCAAATAATCATTTACAGACATGTTGCTATCTTGCTATCAGTCACTCAGACTGTACTAAGAAACTAACATCGGCTTATTAAAGAACTGTGCAAGTAAATATATATGCACAGGTGAAATCTTGGCCATTTCTTCCATGGCTTAGTGTTTTGAATTATTTATCTACATAAAACTATAAATAAATTCCCAAAACTCCATGTATCAGACTGCAGTATTTTAATAACTTTGTTCAAAAAGAAAACAAAAAAATAATGCCAAGACCAAACATTGTAAATAGACTGTAAAGAAAAATGAAAGAAGAGTATAACTAAAATAATATGAAGCTCAAAAATACTATGCAGTTACATTTGACATGCTATTAGAGAAAAAATATTAAATTATATAACTGAGGGACTCTTTAACTTCCCAGATATACAACTGGAATATAAGTTCTATTAATAATTCTTCAAATACTGAACCAAGCAGGTATAAATATAATTTTAAGCTTGCTTTTAGTAAATAGCACCAACATTACAAAACAGCCAAATACTGCTTTCACTGAACCATCAGATGTTGATGCAGTTTAAATTAGATGAAAGGATGTTGCCTTGCATAGGCTGTTGCTAATGCCTGAACTGTTTGGTTGAAATTGTTTCAGCTATCACATTCAGTTTTCTCTGGCATTAGAACATTAGAGGCATCTGAACAAGTCTGGGTTAAGTATAAGGCTCACATCCAGCAACAGTATTGCCTTAAGACATTTCTGTCAGTGCTCTTCCCTCTGTTGCTCATTTCTGCCCCTGTACCTCACTCCATCAATGGCATCAGCATAACTGTTGCTAGAGTCATACTTAGAAAATATCCAGGACAGCATATAGGTGAAAAACAAAGTAGACCAAAACCACCCAGGGGTTTTTACCAGGTAATCAGTCTCATCACCCTTTTCATGAGTGACTTCAAAACAGTTGTGTTAGCCTAAACAAAGTATAGGTAAAGCAAAAAGTGTCAGTAGCAACCTAAACTTTCACTAATGCCAGAAACACATATGAAATCATCAACTTAGTCTAGCAAAGAGAGTCTCAAGATAATTGCTGTCATTAAGCATACCATTTAAATGTCCTAAAGTAAAAAGAGCTCTTGATGCTAAGAGGCAATACAGGCATAAGAACAAATTCTAACAAACTGGTCAGGAATACATGCAAGTTAAAACTGCAACAGATATTTGTAAGCATCAGGGCAGTGAGAGTCTGAAAGAGATGTCCAGTAAGTCCCAGCAAGTGAAAACATGTCTATTTATAACATGGTGCTTGACCGGCTTATAAAATGTATTAGGTTACTTGGTGACCTAAGGTAGCATGGGACTAGATTGATCACCCCAAATGCCCTTCCAGTCCCTGCATTTCTGTGTGGTCCTTCAAAATTAACATAACTTTATTTATATTGCATTTTTATAGTAAATATCTAACTGGCCTCTATTATCAACTTGCACTGGCCTTTTTCTGGAGTGACTCCTATGCCATCTAATAATGTCAATGGAATGACATACAGGGCAAACTGAAATATTTCAGGCATTTGTGCAGTGCTACATCCATTTAGAACACCAGGAGGAAAGGCACGCAAGGTTTCTTTTGGACTTTCAGTTATAACAGAGATTATTACAGATGCAGCTGTTTTCAAAAATTATGGTGAAAACATAATTTGTGAAACCAGCTAATCTGCCAATCTCAAAAGCAGTAAGAATGGTATTTTAAGTGTTGACTAACACTTAAAAACTTAGTAGCTACTTCTAAAAAAGGATTTTAAAGAATAAAGCAAAGCTTCTAAGTTGCAGATTGAAATAATTGCAGAATGCCAGGTGATTTCTTTCACCAATAAAGCCACAATTTGATTACTTGCTGTTTCTGGAAATTATAAATTTGATTTAATTTTAGAAAGGGGAAGAACCTATATAATACTCTATTACAGCAATACAGTGGCCCACATAACTACTGCAAAGACAAACAATGCAATTATATTTACAGACTTGATTTTTAACTTGTGCAGTATCTTAAACATATTTAACACTTAGGTAAGTCTGGTTTTGCTTAGAAACATTTTCTGTGACTGAAATATGGGCCAAGCAGCCTTTTGTTGGCATGTTCCATTAACACTATTAAAATAAAACAAGAAAGCCACAATCTGTGAAGAAGCAGTTTTCAAATTAATCTTCACCTAAACAGTATTAGTTACAATGACAAGTATAATTTCACAGAGTGAAGTAAATGAACTAATATATTTCTGATAAAAATACATACAGACCAATTTATTGTACTTGCAAATACATTTGACAGTTCCATGTAGCCACACAAAAATCAGGGTATAGTGGATTCATGCAGGAAGGAAAACTATATTCTGTCTGACAAAAGAGAATAACAGCTTCAGAAGTGAAGAGATAACAGCTTCAGAAAGTGAAATGAGAGCCAAGATTTTAAAAAGAAAGACAGAGGGCTCTGTACGTGTGTGAGAGAGAGTGCAAATTCAGATAATTTAGTCAATGAGTTCTTAAATATTCTAATACAAATACATACAATTAAGTTTTTCTTGCTGGACCTTA